TTATACTATTCAATAATTTTAAAAGTTTAATATTCAATTTTTTAGTCATTTTAACAATTATTGAACAAAATTGAAGGTAAAGTGACTAGTTTAATGCGCGGCATCCAGCCTCTTAACACAGCAAACAGGCGTCAGTCTCTCTCTGTTTTCACTGGAGGTAACATCTTGCTTGAGACTCTCTTCAACTAAACGCTTTTTTTCTGTGTTTCCAAGCAAATTATTGGTCATTTTGAAATATATTTTATATATTGACAATATATAATGCAGTGCAGCGTTGATTTAAAGAAAATAATCTTGAATTAAACCAGAGAGCTAAAATTTTATGGGTGAAATGGCACCATGGGGTGACTTCTCTTCCACCCCAATGCCTTCTCTTCTTCCTTCTCCTCCACCCCCATTCTAAATCCCATCATCATCATCATCATCATCATCCAGGAGCCTTCTACATACACACCTCAAAGTAAGTGAACTTTTCTACCATTTTTGTTGAATTTAGGAAATTTTCGGTGAGCTGGAACCAATTACCCAAAAACCCATTGAAACAATGGTTTCGGTTAACGAACGTTTCGGTTAACGAAACGACCTTCTGGAACGGATTGAGTTCGTTAACCGAGGGGCCACTGTATATATATAATCACACTCTTGCATTTGTCAATTCTGTTACCATTGACACACCTATATTGTTAGATGCTTTCAACATTTTTTTGCAACTATTCCAGAGTTTTGAGGTGCCTTTACCTTCACCGTTTTGTCAATCACTTTCTTCACCCATTCTCTTTCAATCCTTAGACATGGTCCCTGTTGCCTTTAGTATTTTCTTCAGGCATCCATGATTTCTCCATTACCAATAACCACATCACTGTGATTATGTCTCTCACACACTGCTCACCAATATCTTCCTTGTTTGCTCCCACTATTTGTCTGGCCACTCTGAATAACTCTCTTCTTATGTCTGCACCATTCGACATATCTGCAGAAGTGTCCTGTTCGTGTTTCTGAAGTGAAAGTCTTATGCAAATTGTGTTTAACATCGACATAGCAGCCATTAGTGAGTCCCAGCTCCCAGACGAGGGTCAACTCACAGAACGGGGGTCTGGATATACCTTCCTCTGGAAAGGTAAGCCTGCTGCAGAGAAAAACAGCATTTATGGAGTTGGCTTTGCCATCTGCCAACGCATCCTACACAGGCTAACTGAAATGCCTATTGGGATCAACAAGTGCCTCATGACGCTCCGAGTCCCACTGAATCACTCGTCATGCCTTTTCAACAGTGCATACGCCTCAACACTGGATGCAAAGGATGACATGAAGCCTTTTTCTTTATCTGCCTTATCTACCCTACTTTATCTACTCCACTTGTCTACCTTATCTACTCTACTTTATCTACATTATATAGTCAACCAGCGCCGCCATACATCACGGAGCGGGGCTCAACTACTAAGCCACGCCTACCCCCAGCTGTTTGAGACCTGACCTCGTGGTGACCTGTCCTCTTTCTACCTACACCAACCAGCCAGCACCACCTCCTCCTCCGCCGCTGCCTGGCGGTCCTCGCTCCCGCCGGCGAGCATGGCGACCCACAGGCTGTCCTGTGAGCATCCTCACCGGCCAGCTCTCTCTACATCGCGCTTGTGACCATGCTGCCTTCCCAGCACCAGGCTGCATTGTACATCCAATACAACGTGTATATAGAGAGCGCATTGTGAGTTACCTTTCTCCATTCCATCCTGAGAGTGAACAGGCAACCTGAACCCCACAAAGTTCTTGCTCTCCGTCTGTCAGTCAGACGGATATTAGCCAAAATTTCCAGCCAGTCTTAATGCATCATCCACGAATTGATGGGTCTGGACAAGCCGCTTTAAGGCGGAATCCAAATTCGGATTATTTTTTTTTATATAAACTACTTTCCCCTTAACCTCTTCGTGTAAGGAAACCATCTGACCAGAAACCACATTTTACATAATCTCGACTCTCTGCCACTTGGACAAGTTCTCATCTCAAGTAAGAAACTGAATGTGAGAAGGACCTAGGTGTGTATGTTGATAATTAGCTGAAGTTCTCGGGCCATTGCGAGAAGAAGGTAAATCAGGCAAATAAATTATTGGGTCTTATAAGAAGGTTGTTCAGATATCTAGACGGTCCATCCCTCGTAACAATCTTCAAGGGTGAAGTGTTTCCCCATCTGGAGTACTGTCAGTCTGTCGCCCCGTCTGGTCCCCGAGATATGCTAGGGACTGTCAGTTGGTTGAAAATGTTCAGAGGGCCACCAGTCTGGTGCCTGCACTTTAGCACCTCAACTACCTTGAGAGATTGGAGCGCCTGTGGGGTATGAGATGTTGGTTCATACTCAGGATAGGATGGAGAAAGGAAACTCACAATGTGCTCTCTGAATACATGTTGTATTGGATGTACAATGCAGCTTGGTGCTGGGAAGGCAGCATGGTTACAAGTGTTGAGTAGAGAGAGCTGGTTGGTGAGGGTGCTCAGAGGAGGACCAGCTTGTGGGTCGCCAGCGGGAGCAAGGACCGCCAGGCAGGAGGAGGAGGAGGAGGTGTTGCTTGAAGACTGGCTGTAGGTAGAAAGAGAGATCACCACGAGGTGTGGGTCGCCAGCTGGAGCGAGGGCCGCCAGGCAGGAGTGGAGGAGGAGGTGTTGCTTGAAGACTGGTCTTATATAGCGGAGGTAGGCATGGCTTAATAGTTGACCTCCGTGATGTAGGGCGGCGCTGGTTGCTGACCTAGACACGAGGTGAGGCTGGATTCGTGGGTCGGCTCGTCAGCGACAAACAGCGTTTGTAGGGGAGGAATCCACTACACGCCTAAACTTGCCTAGCTTATACAGTACTACAGACGGGCAAGGGGCGACCTAATTGAGGTGTATAAGCATCTCAAGGGGCACTACTCAGTCGAGTGTCCTTACTTGGAGCTGGTGGAGGCTTGCCCCACAAGGGGTCACAGCTCAAGATTGAAGAAGCCGCAAGTCCAGAAAACTGTGAGGGCATACTTTTTCGGATTGAGAGTTGTGAACTCTTGGAACAATCTACCAGAAAGTGTTGAGACGGCACTGAGTGTGAGCTCTTTCAAGGCAAGACTTGACCAACACTGGAGCAGGTTCAGGTACATTCAGGTTCCGGTGCATGCCCAGTACTTGCCAACAGTGCGTAACAGAGACGTGACCGATCGCCCAAGCGGCTAACGAGCCGATCATTTGGTGAAGAGGATAAAAGAAAAAGAAAAGTAACGGACATGACCGATCGCCCAAGCGGCTAACGAGCTGATCAGTGGTGAAGAGGATAAAAGTAAAACTAAAGATATGAAAATACCCTACCAAGACAGAAGCAAGTGCGACAATGTCCTCATTCTGTAAGACTTCCCGCCAAGCCACCACCAGCAGGAGGACACAGGAGTTAGTTGGAGTTAATGATGAGGCAATGTGATGAGATTAGGCTCAGATACTAAGACTTAATTCCGTGGAGACTCCTTCCATCTCCCTAATCTCCTCTCCCCTTCCCATCCTTTCATCTTACTTACCCCTTCCTTCTTCCTAACCCCTCCCTCCTTCCTTCTTACTTATCCCTCCCTCCCTCCCCTCCTTTTTCCTAACCCCTCACTCTCCTTTCTTTAACCCCCCAGATCGGTGTAGTCTGCTCCTGGATCATCCCCTGACTTTTTACTTTCATCCTCTTCACCACTGATCGGCTCGTTAGCCGCTTGGGCGATCGGTCACGTCTTTGGCACGCACTGTTGGCAAGTACTGGCTCCTGAATGAATCTGAACCTGTTCCAGTGCTTGTCAAGTCTGGTCTTGAAAGAGCTCACACTAGGTGCCGCCAGTCCCCTTATAACATTCTCTGGCAGATTGTTCTAAGATTTCACAACTCACTCCGAAAAAAGTTACCCCTCACAGTTATCTGGGCTTGCGGCTTCTTCACCCTTGAGCTGTGACTACTTGTGGGGCAAGGGTCCGCCAGCTCCAGGTAAGGGCACTCGACTGAGTGCTGTCCTCCTCTGAGCATCCTCACCAACCAGCTCTCTCTACATCACGCTTGTAACCATGCTGCCTTCCCAGCACCAAGCTGCATTGTACATCCAATACAACATGTATATAGAGAGCACATTGTGAGTTCCTTTCTCCATCCCATCCTGAGTGTGAACCAAACAATCTCATACCCCACAATCCCATGCCCCACAGACTCACTCGTCAGGAGAAAGTTTGAAGAAAATGTATTCGTTTCAGTTAATTTCGATTCAATTTGTAACTTGTGTTACGACATAGTAATTTGCTCAATCTAGAAAGGAAAAAAACGCTTCCCACTTTTATGGTTTGTTATAGTTGGTTGATTGGCAAACATATCAAACAGATCCTGTACAAGAGTCAAACCTGATAAACACTTCCTACAGTAATAAAGACACATTATCCATTTATCTGTAGTCTAGCTCTAGACCACGTAACACCTGGCATATGAAAGAGATATTTGGCATGACCATGTAGCTGACATATTCTCCGCCATGAGGGCAGCAACACCTCTTTCATTACCAGTTAAGAGTCGCTCACGCCTTTAAAAAATTCGGTAATGACCTAGTTACAGGAACTAAGTATGTCGTCAAAGCTCTTGAAGACATAAGTTTATAGTGGCTAGTTTCATTGTCCCTTCAAGTTTTCTCGTCAGCTGATGACAGTGTCTGTAATCACTATCTAAACGCCGCCGCTCAACGTGACACGACCCGCCTGACTCTACCTGTACCCGGTATAAAATTTGGGAGATACTCCATTAATATTAATTTGCACAATAAATGATATGAAGTCATTTTTGTTATAGTCTTTGTGTCTAATATTAACAACTGGAAACCTGCGAGAGCCAACGGACCAATAGTAATTTTTCTGGATAATTATTTAATAATTTCTTTACATAAATGGTTAAATTAAAGTTTTCAAATACATTTATATTCTGTAGGTTGATTTAGTAAAGTAGTTTATTTATTGTATGTATGGTAGTGTTTAGTGTAGTCGTCTGCTGAAGAGTTGGTGATGGCAGAGTGAACTACACAGGTGAGTCACTCTGTTATTATGCCCATTCATGGTCTTATAAATACAGTATTACTATTAACAAGATCATATATAAACCTCTCATATATATATAAATATGGGTATATTTTTACAAGTGGACAACCAGGGATTTTTTTGTTGAGTAATATGTTTTTCTGATGGTTTATGTTTTTCACCCCCTGGATCCCTTAGTTGTTCACTTGTAAAAATATACCTACCTATATATATACAGTATTTATATATATGGTCAATTTATAGTATCACACCAGTCTTTATTTGATATTAATAAACAATTTTCCTATGGTTTTTGATGAGTTTCGAACGAATTTGATATCCATTAACTCCGGGAATCACTTGTTTTATTAGATAACCCCCCCACCTACCCCCCCTCCACCCAACAATAATAATGAAAAAAAAATTGAATTTTTTCTTTTCGAATAAATTCAATAAATAAAATACTAACCAACCAACAAAACTTAATCTAACCTGACCTGACCTGACCTGACCTGACCTGACCTGACCTAACCTAACCAAACCTAACCTTACCTAACCCCCCATTCCTTATGCCCCCACATCTTCCCTTAATCTTAAAACCATTGTGACACTGCCAAATGTGCTGTTCTTCACGCAGTGTACAGTACACTGCTTATTACGGGTCCGACTAATTACCCAAATGTAGCCGCAATTAAGTCAAATAATGGTCCTACAAGAATAAATCGGACTGCCAATCACTTCTCGACTAGTATTTGGTGTCACGAAGTCACAAAAAATTGGTAAACTTAATTTAATCTGAGTTAATAGATCGAGTGCATGTACCGTACCTAACCTAACACAACACAACACAACTCAGATTAAATTAAGTTTTCCAATTTTTTGTGACTTTATGACACCAAATAATAATCGAGAAGTGATTCACAGCCCGATTTACGCTTGTAGGACTATCATTTGACTTCATTGCGACTACATTTGGCTACATTTGGGTAATTACTCGCTCCCTTGGTACATGCACGCGATCTATTAACTCAGATTAAAGTAAGTTTTCCAATTTTTTTTTACTTTGTGACACCAAATACTAGTCGAGAAGTGATTGGCAATCCGATTTATTCATGTAGGACCATTATTTGACTTAATTGCGGCTACATTTGGGTAATTAGTCGGACCGGTTATTACAGTTTGGACAAAGAACTATATTCGGTAATGCACCGTGTTTAAAAAAAAAATGCCTCTGGTGTAATTTTGCAATTGACGCAAAATAATTATTCTCACAATGTCGGCACAGCTCTTCCAACTCAAATCTCCGCTCCCGACCTACCCACTTATTGCCAAACAAATATATTTATGAAAAAGGAAGGACAGCTTGAGCCAGGGTGTTTAAGACCTAACCTAACCTAACCATGGTCCAAACGTTCGCTTACCGAATGGCACGGCACTCGACCTCTTGACGTCACACCATACGAAATGTCAAAGTTGAGTTATGACCACTAGGCATATGGTGTCAAGCATCCATTTCGTCACTGCTATTATTCCGCAAACATTAACTTACAAGCCCTTAACTAGGGTGGTGATATTCTAGTACAGTACATAGATAATGGAGTTAATTGTTATTTCTTGAAAATATCTAATATGACCAGGTTAGGTTATTTTAGATATCTTATGCTGGTGTTTGTGGAATAATTACTAAAATAACTTGACAGTGTCAGGTAAGGTTAGGTTATTTAATTATCTGATGCTGATGTAGTGATATCCCCGTTAGCCGGAATAATTGCTGCAGATCTCTACCGGGGATGAGAGATTTCCGGGTAACGAGACAACTCTTTAAAACCTGAAAAAATCCCACATTCCCATAATATTTCTGGCTAATGGGAAAAGATTCCAAGAATCTAAACATTATTTTATCCTCGGAATTTGCTCCCAGACCTGGGGAAAAAATAATGAGAGTTCTGTAATTTTCTCATAATTTTCAAGAATTACGCATTAGTTCATCCTTGGAATTTGCTTTCCTACTCAGAAAAAAATGGAGGGAAGGGAAGAGATTTTCTGGAATTTTCTTGGAAACTGTACCCCAGTTTTAGCATAGGAAACTCATTCACAGACCCTTGAGAAAATTTTCCAGGAAAATTCCGAGCGAATTTCAATTCTGGGTATTGGAGACTTCCGGCTAATGGGGATTTCCATGAACGGAGATACAGTATTACTTACTGTAATTACGGATATAACTTAACTGTTGGAATATGTTAGATTATTTTAATTATCTTATGTCAGATAAGGTTGGGTTGGGTGTTTGTGGATTAATTAGGAAAATAACTTAACTGTCAGATAAAGTTAGGTTAGATTAGGGTGAGGGGTGTCATCTACTCTTGTAATTAGTTTTAAAATGTTAAAGGAAGATCGTGGTGACTGTATCTACAATAATTAGTTATCTAAAACAAATACAGGACTGAAAACAGCTTAACTGTTAGTTCATTTATTAAAGGAAATGTATTACAAATTACAGTGAAACCTCTATTTAACGGACTATATGGAGAGGAAAGTCCATTATATTGAGATTCCGTCAGATGTGAAACCTCTCATCTAACAGATTGTATGGAGAGTGAAGTCTGTTATATGAAGGTTTCGTTGTGTCATCACAATTGGCCTTTAAGTAACTCATGATCCAGCTTTGTTGACAACACTGTAGTATACAGTACTTTATATCAAGAGTTACAGACCTTCTTAAGTTCAGACTTTTTTTTATCGTTCTCATTATATTTTACATTTTGTATTGCATTGAAAAAAATAAGTCTCGTTTGGTACTCCAACTCTGTTTAAGTAATTATCTCCAGGAACAATGCTGTTGTATTTTATTTATTATGAAAGAGCTCTTGGAAAAAATAATTAAAAGTTGGTATGCTGTATTTAATGAAACCTATGAGAAAAAAGTATAAAAAATATATAGAACTACTGTATGGTAGTTTTGTGTAGTAATTACCAACTTATCTTAGGTACTATATCAAGATACAACTTACTGTATTGAAAAAAAATGGACGAACTTGAAGACGTCTTGGACGCTCGTATTGAGGTCAGTGTCACCCACAGATTAGTTATAGAAAGTATATAGCTTTTCCCTGACATTCTGACATTATAAACACACTATTGGTTCTTAAGAAGTCATAAATACAACTATAAATACCTCTGACTTTGTTTAAATAGTGTATTATTGTTGCTGTGATGAACCTAAAGAATTGGCCTATTAACTTAAGTGGAGATAGCCACCCAAGGTGTACAATGAGCTTTGTAGTTTATTGCATTGATGCAGATTTAGCAATAGTATTTAAAAAGTAAATAATTTATTTAAACTGTGGGTGACTTGTGTTACATATATCCTGGTTATTATTTTACCCTTAGAGGGTTACCTTGGACTTTGTGAGTAATATTAAGGGTAAAATATGCCTATATACCCTTCCTTGGCCCTAAGTGAGTAATATTAAGGGTAATATATGCCTATATACCCTTCTCTTCCTCGAAGGGTATACTGTACAGTATATATATACATGTATATACTGTACACACACACACACAATGTCATCAATGTCTTCATCAAATTCACTCTCTCTCTCTGTTGGTCTTCCTCGACTGGCCGGCGTTGCGAAAGAAAGCGAGTGATGAGTGACTGCTGCCGGGCATTTACTCGCTTGTTGTACTGCTTCTGGCATTTTCTTGAAATATATTCTACAAATCCAATAATTTGCTCCCTTTCACCTGATTAACTCTCAATGTCTTGGATCATCTCTTGAAGGCTGGTACAAACACCCAATAAGAGTGACAGCTTCTGTGTCGTCACTTTCCTCTGATTGGTCTCCCCTGCATTACTCGCTGCATCACCACCTTCTTCATCCTCCGGGAGATCCTCGACGTCATTTGTGTTACCTACTTGCATCGGTTCTTCTAAATCTTCCCAAGTCACTTCTTGAAATCCTGGGGCTGGGATACTGTTTCCAATACTTGGTTCATTAACTCTGCTGGCTGCTGTCTCTTCGTCTCGGCAGACTTGAGTTGTGGCACGAGTGCCGACCAGGCATGCCTAACGGTTGCTTTTGTAGTATTTCCCCCAGGCTCTTACAAAGAAATTGACTGCCTGGCGAATGTTATAAATTTTCCAGAAGGCAGTAACAGTCATTTTCTTCACTTCTTCTTGCTTATCAGTTTCCTTCCTCATCTTGTCATGGACACATTTGCAGTACAGCAAGTTTACATTTGTTTACACACTAAATTGTTTAGGATCATGGTACCTCCAAAATGTTCTGCACATAATATAAAATTTACAGTGTGATATCTCCAATTATTTGCTTACTACGTATAAAAATTGTTTAGGATCATGGTACAGTCTAACCTTAGATTCATTCATATCAGTTTCATGTTCTGGTTGGTACTGAGACAGTTTCAAACATCTGTAGCAGGCAGTGCAGCAATAGTTGACTGGGAGAGTTAACGAACTTTTGGGTGAGACTGTGCCTCCAAAATGTTCTGCAAGTGCATTTTTTTGCAATTGAAGAACCCCCTCATTAAAAAATTAAGTTGCAAATACTTGGACAAATTGAAAGTAGCAAAGGATCCTGAGTGTTTGGCTGTGTAGCTACTTAACATGTGTAGGTCAAGTGTGAGTGTATGTGTGCTTAGTTTGGAGGTATTTGGACAATGCGGAAAGCTATAATTGCCAAGTTTTTCATCCATGCTAATTAGCTATGTGAATCAGTTTGTGGACTAGCTTGTGATTCAGCATGTACAGTGAAACCTCTATTTAACTGACTATATAGGGGTAGGAGAGACTTTGATATAGAGGATCATTTCAATGTGAAACCTATTATCTAACGAACTACAGTATATAGAAATGGAAGTTATTTATATCGAAAGTCCGTTCGATGTAAACCCCCTCCTATCTAACGAATTATATATAGAGAGAAGTGCATTATATGGAGGAGTCACTGTACAGTACAGAACAGTATATCAAGTTGTTTGTCTCACCAACTTTCAGCTGATATCTGATGAGGCGGTGGTCACGAGGAAAGCCTCCAGGACAGGATGTCTCAGTTCTTTGGGAAGCTGGCAAGGGGCCTAGGCTGGGGCCCGCAACCAACAAAGGTTAGTAACAATAATTGATATTTTAGTCAATTTGATCACCAAGGATAGCCAACAAAGCCATGAGATGCTTAATTCTAGTAGAGTCCTTATGCTAACAGCATCATGGTGGTCTTAGGGGGGTCAGGCAGTCACCCATCCAAGTACTACTAACCTAACCCAATTTTGCTTAACTTTGCTGCTCAGAAAATAAGTGATGTTTTGAATTAGTGTTTGTTACATGTTAACATTAAATTTAATGTTTCTAATTCCTCTTTTATAATTTATTTATGAAATTTAGCAGCTATTTATGACTTACGGGTGTGATCCATGCCACTAGTTATCCTCAGGCAGCACCAAACAGCCAGTGCCAGAATATGTTTTCTGTGGAAAGCTGTCCAGTAATTATAATCTCAATCCATGCTTGGTGGTTTAAATATACAGTACAGTACATTAGTCACAATGGAAAGTATGACAAACATGGACAGCTGGAACTAATTAATTTTACCTTCTCTCTGCAACCTTCCTGGAAATAAACATCTGACAGCTTTGTCAGTCCTTAGTGAAGTTGCCTTACTGTTTATTTGTTGTTGTTCTTTACCTGCACAAAGGAAACTACAGTATACTCCTACATGCACCATGTACTGTACCTACATTGTCTATATTCATGCTGAACTTTATACCTGTGTAGTTTATAAAAATACTTATCAAATTGTAAACTTGTATGACAACTTCACTGAATAAATATACAGTACTCTCAATTTAATGGAAGCCGATATAATGAACTCTCGATATAGCGGAAGGCACTTTTCCGTTATTTTTCACTCGATTTAATGAATTAGTTCGCTAAATTGAGATTAATTCCATAAATATGCTCACCCCTACGGAGACACCTCAGACACATGATACCTACTTCAGCCCATGGCGAATGTACTAAATGTAAAATCGATAAATAATTATATAAAAAACACCATATAAGATGCACCCTTTATTTTAGCTGGGAGTATTTAGGAAACTGTTACCACTAACATACGTGATAAAACCACACAGGAAGAGGGAAACACTGGAGCACCTTAGCTTTTGCCTTTATTCAAGACATCTTCAGAGGCAACTGAATTTACAAGGACTGAGAGAAGCTTACCGTATATACAATGAGTGACCTTACATAACAACAGGTCAGGTAAAAAAAATGAGACCCATTAATCATCTACCCTACATCCACCTCAAATGCTCTCAAATTATTTTCACCTTAGGCCAGTTATTATTCATTAATTAATACCACAACATCACACACACAACATCTAGAGTTTAAAGTCTTGTGTGAGACACTGTGAGTTGGTGAGGGGGAGCAGGGGGCAGGGATGGAGGGAGGGAACAGGGAGAGCAGCATGCTGGTGTATGTGATAATATAAACAAAATTAAACACTATAGAAAAAAATACTATAAATAATTTGACATAAAAATTACATGACAAAGCCAAATACTGTACTTAGGCAATTTTTTCACCCAAGCCTCTCCACTGAGGGGAGGCTGGGTAGGCTTACACACCTCCTGTACACAATCTCTCTCTCAAGTAGATCTACAATAGAAACATGGGTAAGATAAATCTTGATAAAACCACACAGGAAAAGGGAAACACTGGAGCACCTTAGCTTTCGTATACAGTGGTCCCTCGGTTAACGAGCACAATCCGTTCCAGCAGGTTGCTCGTTAACTGAAAATCTCGTTAACCGATACCATTGTTTCAATGGGTTTTTGGGTAATTGGTTCCAGCTCACCGAAAATTGCCTAAATTCAACAAAAATGGTAGAAAAGTTCACTTACTTTGAGGTGTGTATGTAGAAGGCTCCTGGATGATGATGATGATGTGAATTTGAAGTGGGAGGTGGAGGAGGAGAAGGGAGAAGAGAAGGAAGTGGAGGTGGAGGAGAAGCATTTTACTGCTTCTTGGAAGGTGAGTCACCTTCCCTGAAAATGTCAGGAACCTCTGGACTGACAGATTCTCCACCATGAACATCCTCTCTCCTTCTTGAAGTGGAAGGCTGAGGGATAGCATCTTGTTCCCTTTGCCTTTTACTGAAGAAAGTGTCAATTGTGGTCTGTGGGGCATCTGTTCCCATATTTATACTCAAATGCCTTACAATAAACGCCTATAGTAAGCTAAAGGACTAAACTTTATATATCTAGTGCAAACTATGGGATGTTTCTACTCAAATTAATTGCTATCTTGCAAGAATTCCAGCAATGCAAGTTATATTCTGCTAAGGCCTCACCATTTCCTCTAATATGTCATGGAAGTCACACATCCTCAACATTGCTAAAGCTGCCTCCCGAAAACTGGGAATGCTGTACGGATGACGTAGCTATTTCACTCCTGAGCAGTTGCTTCAAGTATATAAGGGATTCATTTGTCCTAACTTGGAGTACTGCTCTCATATCTGGGGTGGCTCTTCTTCTGTCCAACTATTAGATATGGTGGAATCAAAGGCATTTCATCTTATTAACTCTCCTTTAATTGATAATCTTCTTCCTTTTCTCTTCGCCACAATGTTGCTTCAGTCTCTCTCTTTTACAGGTACTTTAACGGGCATGTTCGTCGGATTTGGCATCCTGTATACCGCCGGCAAGGCCGTGGCCTCATAACACACGTCTTGCCCGCGGTGCCCATCGTTTCTCTGTGGATGTCGGTCGCACTAGAATAACCCATTATAGTACATCCTTCTTTCCTCACATAGCCACACTGTGGAATGCTCTGCATTCTTCTGTGTTTCCATACTCTTACAATCTCTCTCACTTAAAAAAGCTGGTTTCCGGCATCTTCGTGGCATAGATCAACATAATCTTTTTCTTCTCTATTTTTAATTTCCTTTTACTCTTACTTTTTCACCCCCTAGGCCTGTTGTGGGCCGATGACCTGTGCTTGGGTGGGCTATTCTCTATAAAAAAAAGGAAAGACAAAAAAGAAAAGATATCTGAACAACATTCTTATTAGACCTAATAATTTAGTTACTTGATTCAACTTCTTCTCACAATGACCCGAGTACTTCAGCTCATTGTAAACATACACACCTAGGCCCTTTTCACATTCAGTCTTTAATTAATAGTGTGTTGTCAAAGTAAGAGAAACAATTGAGACCCTGCAATTGTGTGTAAATGGGGCAAAAAGTCAAATAAGGAACCTGGGACTTGGTCACAATTTTCTTGATGCCATATGGCAGCAGGGTCTACCATTAGACAGCACATTATACTTCCATTATCTTTCCAGGCAGTAGAACCTTCCTGTTTGATAGCTGCCTAATACATGCTACTTGCCCCAATTTGTTCGTCACTTCAAATTATTTACAACCTCCTCCGTGGTCACTGATGTCACTATGAACTGTCTTAATTAAAGGCACAATACTGTACTAGACTCTCTGCTTAGCCTTTGGGTGGTCAGTCACAGCCATGTTATTATTATTATCTCTTTTTTCACAGGTAAACAATGTCAACTGGAATGACTACGCTAACAGAACCTTCACCTTTGTTGAGGGAACTTTCATAATTGTATCCCTGGCAGAAGATGACATCAAGGAAGACCCTAACCTTACATATGAACTTATAATTCACAAAGAAATTAATAATTCGAGGAATGCCTACAGGTAAGTTTGTTAAAAACTGCTTTACTGTATTTTTTTTATTATGGTTGTTATTAAAAATGTTTTGCTTACGCCTCTTTTTCGCTACCCGAAGGTAATATATGTTTATTCGAATGTTGTTCCGATCGAAAATTCAAATGGTACGTGTGGCACAGCCAGGGAGTCAGCTGAGGCGGTCGCTTTGTTGCTCCCCTTGTTCATTATTCACAATCACAGACAAAGATCTACAGTAACTTTTCCATGCATCATCAGAGTATTGAGCAACATGCTGTATTATACTCCACTTCCTAATTCTCATAATAATCCCAGTCACTCAGTATGCACATAAAACCACTTGTGTGCCATCATTTCTTGGTAAGACACCTTTATTTTCCTATTTCTATACTTGCTATAGCTTCTGTAGTCCTAAAGCCTTTATCACTGTTACTGAGTGTTTTTCAGCACCTCATCGCCTGTTACATTTAAAGTGATGGATGTGTGGGCTCTCATACCACTAAGGTTACTACTACCACAGTTACACTTACTGGTCACGTTTTTTCAGACATCTTCAGAGCAGGGTACATGTAAGTTAGTTTAAACTGGTAAAAGGTTGGCCGTACTACCATCACCACCATTATATTACCAATCTCCACAAACTTGCATGGGCTAACAGTGACTACCTCATGGCAGTTCTTCTAAGTCTCTTGCAGCCTCATCAGGTTTTTGCCTTCCCATGTCATTCTTGCCTCACCCCCCCACCCTTCCCTAGCTCTCCTTCCCTTTACATTCAAACTCCTACATTTTTTTACCTGGATAAATGCCTGGAATTTTATTATTGTTATCTATTATCCACCCTGAATAAGTCCCCTCCATCTTTTCAAATGTTCAAACATAACCAACTTATGGAGAACCTTCCCACTGTAGTACTGTACTCTTAAAATATTCAACCGCCATCTTAACTCTGAACAGGGTTTCCTATCACTGAACATCACATTTATCTCACAAATCTTACTTCATTTCACTCAAGTCTACAAATGTTGTTCTTTTTGACAGTATACAGTTATAGTAAAACTTCCATTTAGCAGACATCATTCTAATGGGTATTGTCCATTACATGGTGGTTCACATCTAGCGAACCTCAATATAACGAAGTACTCTCTCCCATATACTGTAGTCTGTTAAATTGAAGTCTCACTGTACGATGCATCATATTATTCTTCCTACTAAAAAAATTTAAACAATTTATCTGAATTGTTTTTCAGCCTTTTGAGGACGTGTACGGAAACAGAGGCCAAGGAAGCATACACGGCCTACAGCAAAATACTCCTCCCACTGGTGGACTCCTGTGGGAAGGAAGTCCTGTGTCATAACATGCTGCAGAAGATCCTCGACTTTCACCGAGAACACCCTTCCTGGCATGTGGCGCACATCACAACGCATTTTGCATTCCTGGAAGCTTTGAAGAATGAGGAAGTATTAAGGTATTTCATCTACTTTCCATTAGGTTGGATCAGGTATGGTTAGGTTGCTTAGGTTAGCTTATGTAAAGTTAGGTTAGGTCATCATTAACTGACAGTAGATATTCTGAGTAGACATAATGGAAGTAGACACAGTGCACATAAACCAGAAATAGTCCAGAATTATTTCAGCATTGTTACTGTTTTTCATCATTATCATTAAAGTACAGTATACATTAACTAACAGGACAGTCGTGACAGTTGCACTTATGTGAATGATTGTACAGACAGTCCCCAAGTTACAAACACCCGCACTTTCGAATTCCCATACTTATAAACACCCGAAAAACGTACGGGATCCCAATATGTACCGGTACATGCATCACAAAAATTTATATTTAAAATCCTATTTTTCACATTTTCACATTATATATATTGTTTAACATCACTTTATTTACATTATTAGTTATGTCTAGAATGTTTTTGCTGTTTTGTATGGGAAGGGTTGTGCTTTTACCTAGCCTGAACTATGGAATTAACATTGTTCCGACTTACGAACAGAGTCTAGGAAGGTAACCTATTTGTTACTCAGGGACTGCCTGTATTATATTAAGTGCTGTACATGATTGCCTGTGAGAAGCTGGTAATGGTTACAATGTTATGTTTTCATGACAGTTATCTGAATGTAGCAGAGGACAATGAAGGTCTCTATCCTCTAAACGTTGCTGTTGAGAATGAGAACGAGAAAGTTATCGGGGCATTGATAGCAGCAGGTGCAGCTCTGGATGTGGCAGACAAGAGTGGTAACACACCTTTACACATCGCCGCTACCAAATCTGTGGCAGTCATTCAGGTAACTGACTGTTTTCATTTATCCCTCTTGTGCATGATTCATGATAAAGTCTCTGAAAGAGAATGATTTTCTAGACTTACATGAATTTTATCAGTACCATTCTCTTCATTATAGTGTTGGCTACAAGATACAATATAATTTATATCGATGTAAAACATAGTAACAAAAAAAAAATTACCATTTGAGATTCATTTTTTTGCTATTTTCTCAAAACTATTGGGCATATCCGAAATCTGATTACTACTGCGTTGGAAAGCTCATAAAATTCCGCTTCTAGCAGTGTACAGTATAGTTCTTAAAATGTTGGCTCAGACAATTTTGAGCTCGGAGGTTGTGAACTTAATGGTGTGTATTTTTTCTCATGTGTATTGGAAGTGACAAAAAATAGCTTTATAATTTTATTATTCTTTTGGGGGGAGGGGGGGGGGCTTATGTTGCAGAGCAGTCAGTTACAAAGCCAAAGATACAGTATTGGTTTAAGCCAATAAAAATAAGCTTTGGGGGAAAATTGATTAAGCAAAAAAAATATTCACCGTGCTTTGTCTCGCTTGCCCTGGGGGCCTCAGAGACGTGATCTTGGAACTGGAAAACTTAAAACTTATCTCGTGCACGAGAGGGTTAAAGGGTTTTTTATAGTTGTGATGGTAATGTATCGTCGATGAAAAACTATCTTTACAAAATTGTGTTGACAATATAACGCAATGGACGAAGGATTTTAGCAATCCTACCGAGACAACAGGAATCACGGTGTTCATTTTGAAATTCATTGACCCCCCCCAAAGTGTAGATTGATTTTTCATTTAACTTATGGCTTAGGAAACAAGACGCAGTGAGTGCAGGAGTGTTTGCCTGGGGCATATACCTACTTCCCCCCGCGCCTCTCTCGACTTTATTTTTTACGGGGAATATACCACCCGGGCACAGGTCATTGACCCACAATGGGGCCTGGAGGCTTTTAAACAAATAGGCCTAACCAACCGAGTCGCCAGATGCACTGGTGACAAACTTCTCATTGTTCCACACTTACGATCGCCTCCCATACAATCTACACACCCATGCTCTTCTTATTTTATAGTTTATTATGTTTTCTTTACTTTTAAGTCTCATTAGAGTATTGAAATGACTTTTACACAACTTTTATACTTTCATTACATGTAACAACGGCAACATGCATTACCCTCTCCCTCCCTCCCTAAGGCGGGGCAGGAAGCGATAGAGACATTTAAATTGCCACTGTATGGGTACCCCTCTCACTCACCCCAATCCCCCTCTATCTACTCATCCTCCCCTTCCTCATCCCCCTACCCCTCCACCTACTCTTCTCTTTCCTCCTCCATTCTCACTCCTCCTTCCTCATTTTCCTTCTATTCCTCTCCACTTTTCATCCCTCCTCTCTACCTCTCTCTCACTCCCATTTATCACCCCCCTTCTTCTCCATCTCCTCCATTCACCTCTACCCTTCTCCTTGCCCTCCACCTCTCTCCTCTATTTCCCCTCTTTTCTCCCCACCTCACTCCCAACTCCCCCCTCCCTTTTTTCTCCCTATTTTTCTTCCATCTCCTCTCCCCCTCACCTCCCTAAATGGTTCTCTTCCCCTCTCATCCTCCCACCCAATCCTCTCCTTTCCACCTCACCTTCTCACCTGATCCTGATCCCCCACACACACCTATGTCCTTCATTTGTTCTTACTTTATAGTTTTATATTATATTTTCTATTTATAAACCACATTATAGTACACGTATATATATATAAACTTGTACTGTATGCATGATTTAATCGATTTTCAAGGGTAATTTTGACTACGTATTTTTGCCTTTACACCTCAGAACGTAACCCCCGTATAAGATGAGATAAGATTAAGGTGTAAATAAAGAAATATGATTCTGCATGTTGTCTAAAATACCATCTTTGATTCTGCCCAATGCTTCCTTTTGTTTTTAGTGTACAGTTTATTAATTATGTTAAATGCATTAGTTACAGCATCATTCTCAAGTGTAGTACTGTATCATCATCATCATCATCATGTGTATAAATGGTATGTTATACAGGTTGACAACCCTTTTTCCGAAAACAGAAAAGCTCTAAAAACCGAAAGTTTTTTGTGGGGCTTTTTTTCTTTTTTCTTTTTTTTCTTTTTTTTTAACAGGGATTAGCCCACCCAGGCACAGATCACTGACCCACATCGGGGCCTGGGGGGCGAAAATGTAATAGCAATAATAATTATAATAATAATAATTATTCATAGTAAATAAAAATTTTAATAAAAATAAACCAAAATAACATAATAATGATTACAATAATAATAATAATAATAATAATAATAATAACAATAATAAAATATAATAATAAAATTAATAATAATAACAATAATACTGTAATAATAAAATAATAATACAGTAAAGAAATACATGAATGAAAAAAAGATCAAAAGTGAGAAACACGACCTAGACCTATGAATTATTATTATTATTATTATAATTTTTATTATATTTTAGACCCCCAGGCCCCATGGTGGGTCAGTGATCTATGCCCGGGTGGGCTAATACACATAAAAAAAAAAAAAAAAACCTAACCATTCTGAAAACCGAAATGCCACTGGCCCCAAGGATTTCGGATAAAGGATTGTCAACCTGTAGAAATCTTCCCTCTCCCTCGTGCCTGTGAAGAAAAAAGTTTATTATAATGATTTTCTGTATTTCAGGCCCTCAAAGTCAAATATCATCATATATTGAACAAAAAGAACCACGCACAGGAGACTCCTCTACTTCTAGCAGCACAATGCAGCAAACTTGAAAATGTAAAATACCTCATACAGCTCGGAGCCAACGTGAACCACAAGGTAGAAGTGCCTGACATTGAGAACAATCAGTCATACTGGGAAAAAGTGGACAAGCTTGTGTTGTCAAAGGATATTAGCTCAAAGGTAAATACAGTAGATTGACATACAGTGAAACCTCCATACAATGAACTTATCTATACAGTATAGTATATAATCAGTGAAACGGGTGTTTCACATCTAATGGACCCTTGATATAATAGACTTTCCTCTCCATATTGTCTTTTAAATAGAGGTTTTACTGTACTGAAGCATGACTAATATACTATCTGGCAATACTAATATTTAATACGTCGCAGTGATGTTATTCATAATTCATTGGATATACTGTACTGTACAGTATTTAAATTAAAATGTGTTTGTGAAATCAGTTGTGTATATCTCTTATGGTAATGGAAAATAAAAGAGTTTTGAATAGTACAGTACTGTACTGTATGTACTGTACAGGCATTCCCAGACGCACAAAAAGGGTTCCCTTTCATAAGATGCATTTTCCTGTACATTTCCAATTTAATGAGATACATTCCTATGAAATAAATAATATGTCTTCCACAATATGTTGTAGAATGCCACAAAACATTTATGTTATTTACCTAGTGGCCATCCAGTAGAGGTGGCCATGCCGAGGGAAGGAGGCTAGCGATGTGTGTAGGATCTCTCTCTTGTTCTTCATAATTTTGTCAAGGGTTAATATTTTGAAGTGCAGTGCAGTACTGTTCTTGATTCCAGTGTTTATGTACACAATGATTCTAAACTAATATTAGACTGTAATAGTACCTACAGTACTTTATACCTGTACCTACCAGAAACCAGATGAGATTATGAACATCTATAAAATTATATTACTCTAGTATTATATTGGAGATCAGTCTTCTATGACAAAACACTTAGAGTTATTGTGTCATCCTTAATCCCAGAACTTTATTTACATGGTGCACGTTGCCATCAATCAGTCACACAAACAATCTCTTGCATTGCCGGCAATATCCACTCCTCCAAAATTTTGTTCACTTCCACGCGCACACTCTCTCTCTCATATATATATATATATATATATATATATATATATATATATATATATATATATATATATATATATATATATATATATATATATATATATATATATATATATATATATATATATATATATATATATATATATATATATATATATATATATATATATATATATATATATATATATATATATATATATATATATATATATATATATATATATATATATATATATATATATGAGAGAGAGAGAGAGAGAGAGAGAGAGAATGTCTGTACTTTATGCTAAATACAGTTGATAAAAGAGTATGCAGTTTTAATACATAAATATAATAATTAATTGACTTAAACATAAGTAAGTGCACTACTCCTCCGAGATGATCATACATGACTTATTTTATTTCACAGGACCTGCACAAAGGCGGAAGTTTATTGCATTGGGTTAAGACAAGAGAGCTAATGGACTTGTGTCTTGACATGGGCTGTGACTCAGACCTCAGGAACTCTCTCAACCAAACTCCATTACATGTTCTAGTAGGTGAAATGAAACTTTAATATATTTAAAACATGTTGAGGTCGGTTCGTAAGAACTTCGTTAACCGAATTTTTTTCGTTAACCGAATTGAAGATCCTTATGAAAGGCAGTTCGTTAATCGAAATTACGTTAACCGAGGTGTTCGTTAAACGAGGGGTCACTGTACTGTGCTTTATTACTATTGAATTTAACAAAATTTCTACCTCCCCATTAGGAGATGCTGCACAGATCCGCAATGATAGATGAAATGATATCAGCTCTAGAAACAGAGAATTAGGGGGGAATGGAAAAATGTGAAGAATAGCACAGTATAAGAGTAGAATCATCAGCGTAAGAATGGATAGAATTAGTTGTAATGTGAAGTAAATCATTGATAACAAGAAGGAAGAGAGTACAGGGTAGGTGAAAGAACAGAACCCTGTGGGACACCACTATTGGTAGAGAAAGAGCGAGAGATTCATCCCTCGACAAAAACTGCCATGGATCGGTTCTCAAGGAAGCTAGAAATTAGAGAACAAAGTGGGGGAGAGAAACCATAAGAGTGAAGTTTAGAAAGTAAAGACTTGTGCCATACCCTGTCAAATTCTTCGGAGATGTCAAGGGCCATGACAAAAGTTTCCCCATAATCCCTAAGAGAGGATGACCAAAGATGGGTGCAGTAGGAGAACAGATCACCAGTAGATCTCGCCTGGCGAAAGCCATACTTGTGATCCAACAAAAGAGAAAGGCATTCAAGGTGTATGTAGGACAATTATTTCTTTTACTTTTTTCACAATATGTATGTAGGATGGTGTGTGCATGTAACTGAGTAAAAATAAATAAAGTTAGGTATAGCGACCCGAAAATACAAGTTAAAAAACAACCATGACACCACAGCATTATATAATCACAAGTCTAGTATAAAAAAAGGTGGAAATAATAAAATAAAGTGGTATAAAATAAATTCAAGATGATATGTCTCCCAGGTCATGCGGAGATTGTGGTAACGTTGGATTTAAAACACTGGGGCTGGTTCCCATGGAAATGGAAATGCTACACAATAATTCCTACGATTCAGCTAACACGAGACTTGAGTTGCCACATTCTAACCATCTCACATGATTTTAGACCTCATTATCAAGCTTTTCAAGTAAAAACAAATAAACTTTTTTGTAACCAGAGGGAGGTAACTAGGTTTATTATAGAGAAACCACATAGGAATTAAAAAAATCTAATTGTATCTTGGCTTCTGCAGTGCATCAGTGACAGGGTACCAGATACATGTAGCTTCATAGGACAAACTGCTGTCTCTTGAGTCTTTAATTTTCAGATGACACACATTTAATTTCTGCAGATATTTTAGTGCTTGTTGCTAGGTTAGGTTAGGATTGGAGAAGCTTACTCTCCACATGCCCAAACCATATCGGCACCTACTGTACCTCTACACAAATCCTAACCTCTCGGTACCCATCCAGTTTCACTTCTAATTGACCCTCGATATAATGGAATTTCCTCATCATGTAGTCCGTTAAAATAGAGGTCTCACTGTATAGTTTTATTTAGTAATCTTTGTTTAACTTTGATTCCTCTGTATTTTCAGGTTTTAAGGAATAGAATACAGTGTATAGTGACGCTGTTGTGTCGGGGAGCCACAGCCAACTGTGCTGACTTGGAAGGTACCACCCCACTACACCTGGCAGCTGCCCAGTGCTCTACCACTTTAGTTCAGGTAACATCAACAAGGATTACTATAGTATTTTCTCATATTATAGTCAAAAGTGTTGTAAATAATTTATCTGTTGTAAATGTTCACTGAAAAATAAGAAATAAAATAGGGGCAATATTATAAGCATAATAGGATAATATGACATGGAAATTGAACATTATAATTCAAGTACAGAGTACAGTTAAAATAGGATACTGTACAGTCGACTACTAAAAGTCTGTTCACCTCTCCTCCTGAATCATGAACCCGAGCGATTCAGACTCATGAACCTGAAGCATTTATGGACAGAATATTGCATCACTTTACTTCTTTGGATTTATGAATCTGAATCTTTGTGGGGTTCTTAGTTAAGGGGGAGAGGCCAATGGACTTAGTAGTCGACTCTTCCTCTAAAATGAAAAAGAATAATAACATTATTATTTTTTGTTTTATTTTACAGCTAAATTTAAAATATGTTGTTTATTTCTCACCCATCTTGTACACATACTGTTAATATTAATATGCAATGATTATTGAAGACAGAATGTGGAAGAAATTAAGTTTTATCTATAGTTTTTAGTCATATTATAGTTCAGTATATCATAGAAAGTTATTCAGTATATTAAACAAGTGACTACATAATGGCATTTAACATACCACAGTATATGGACAGAAAGTCCATTATATTAAAGGTCCTTTAAATACGAAACCCCCATCAAATTGATTATATGGAGAGCAAAGTCTGTTATATGGAGGTTTCAGTGTATAACGAAGGGTTAAGTTTAATATGTCACCTTTCTCTTACAGGCGTTTATTGTGTTTAGAGGAGAAATCAATGCTGTGAACAATAAGGGGGAGACACCCAGACATTTGGCTGCCTCATGTAAATTGGACGACAAGATCAAAGCCTCGGAGAGAGACAGAGTTATTTATTTACTGCATACTGTTGGGGCGAAAAGGCAAGTTAGTTTTGTTACTTGTGACTATAGGTTTTTTTAATCTGATGGTACTAGACTAAGAAGCGCTGCCTTCCTCCAAAAATGTGAATTTGTTTGTGATTTCAACAGTAAATATTTTTATATACATTAAATTCAGCATTAAAATGAGCCAGAACTAGGTATCCTTAGCAGTTATATATGAATTTTTATTTGTCCATATATCAATATTATCGCATATTATACAGTATATGAGCCAATGGCCTGTAATAAGGGGTGAGGCTTGTACCATCAACTAAAAAAACTAGAAACTGGATGTTCTGGCAAAATGGTATAAATCCTTATTTTGCACTATTTGATTGTAATTTTACCTATTTTTATCTTAATAGGCCTATTTTGTTTATTCCCATTGCTATTTAATATCATTTTGCTATAAGAGAAACTTACTTGTTTTTTAAATCAGCATTAAGGTGTTTCAAAATAACATGTGACAAAATTATTATGAACACTGGAGGGATCCTACACAGGACACTGGCCGTACTTCCCTTGGCTTGGCCACCTCTGTTGGGTGGCTATTAGGCAACCAGGTATATAGTCTAGGCAAGTTTTGAGAATATTGTTACCGTATTTTATGGTATATAAGACGCAAGCTAATGAATACCCCTGATGCCGTCTCCAATAGGCTAAATTCCACCTAACTTAACTGCAGAATTAAAAATACAGGTACTCCTCGACTTATGACCTACTCGACTTACGACCACCCGGACATACGACCACCCGGCCTAACAGCCGGAATGCCTTGCAACACATGTCTCCATGCGTGACGAACAGTTGCTACAGACAGCTGATCCCATGCCTCCACCAAGAAGTCCACAGCTTTCTTGACGTTGAATGTTCTCCAGAATTGTTTTAAAAGTACTTCTTGCTCTGCCAACTGTTGATCCTCGTCGTCTTCGCTCTTGCTATCGGTGTTGGTGTCACTCAGGTTACGCAACTCTTCCTTGGTGTTGGTGTAGTCGATTCAGGAGCTTGAATTTTTTAGTAGAGAATGCAGCTTTTACATTACAGATTAACTCTTGGTCCATGGGCTGTAATATAGTAATATAGACGTAGTGTTGGGAGAAAGGAAGACCACTTTTACGTTGGGGTGACGATCTAACAGTAGGGGCGAGTGTCCTGGTGCGTTGTCCAGCAGCAACAAAATCTTGAATGGCACATTCTGTTGCTCACAGAATTTCTTCACATCGGGAACGAAACGGTCATCAAACCAGGAGAGGGACAGTGTAGAGAACATCCACGTCTTACGTGCGGTTAGCCAGTGGACATTTAGCTTGGTCATGTCCATGCTCTTGTAGGCGTGCGGCTTGCGTGCTGTGTGGATCACCGATAACTTGAGCTTACAGGTACCGGAGGCATTGGTGGTAAACAGGACAGTGATGCGCTCCTTCTGCAACTTCCGGCCCCGACACTTGCTGGCATTCTTCACAACGAAGGTTTTGGAAGGTAGTTTTTTCCAAAAAAGACCAGATTCGTCCATGTTAAACACCTGGTCGTCGGTGTACTGTCCTTCCTCCATAATCTCACGTAAAAATGGAGGAAATTCCCTAGCCGCAACACGGTCAGCACTAGCTTCTTCACCACCAATGTTTATATTGGTGATCTTGTTCCGCATCTTAAACTTCTGTAACCACCCAGAGGAAGCATTAAAGGGTTTGGGCTCTGTAATTCCCATCTTTCGTGACACTGCAGCATACAGTTCACGTGCGTACTCCTTAACTGAGCGCGTGTCCACCGCCATGTTCCGTCGCGCCTGACGCACCAAGTAGCTCACAAGTAATTTCTCCGTCTTGAGAAGCACTTGGTTGTGGCAATACTTGATCATAGAAGCACCTGTAGACTTTGTGATGTTCATGTGCTCCTTTATCTTGGCTGCATCCTTCTTAATTGTCCTGATCGTAGACTCGTTAACACCATGCTGGCGCGTGAGATCAACCTGTCTTGTTCCTTTCTTCAACTCTTGTATGATCTTATACTTAATTTCGTAGCTTAAGGAACGTCGTGTCTTCTTTGGCTTAGGGCGGCTGGGTCCAGGTAAGGAAAGGTTTCTCTCTGGGGGCGGTGGTCCGGCGGAAGCCATTTTACAGAACAATGGATTCACGTATACACGGTGTGGCCTGGAGGGATGAAACTGCCGCGGCTAGGTCAAGCGTCGTCTTTCCTCCCTCCCTCCCGCGGGTGGACACGTCATATTACTTTAAACCAATCACAGCTAGCAGCGGAGGGAGGAAAGGATGCATGGCCCAATCACAGTCCGATACGTCATATGACGTCACTGATAACGCAACAAAGACACACACTGCGCAACCTACTCGCGCCACTTACACAACATGGCGGGTGAGGGCGGGAGAGATGGCGGGAGGTTTGGATCCAAAAATGGCGCGGCTCGCCAGCCGCTCTCCGCGTAAAGGGGTACACGCACCGCGGAAAGTTAGCATTCCGGTTTTGGCAGGGTACCGCGTAAATGTGGAAACGCGTAAAGCGAGGGTTGACTGTACTGTATCCATCACTTTTTTGAAAGATTTTAATGTACCTTATTGAAAGGATTTAAACAATACTTTATTGAAAAGGTTTACTGTAATCTTAATTACATAAACTGTCCCAGTAATTATTATTATTTGTTTATGGATTCATTTTTATATTTACAGATGTCAAGTTACGTTATCTGCCTGTTCTGATGGATGTCTGGATGAGGGTAATTTTAATGGTGTTCCTCTCTATGAAAAACCTCTACTTCGGTCGCGCTGGATTATGGATGAACAACTCTCAAGTGCACAGATAGCAGAGTCTATTCGGCAAGTACTTGGACGGTGTGTTTTTTGTGAATGTAGGAGATTCTGGCCAGGGTGGTTAGGACTTAACCTTTTACCTAGCCTAACTGTAGCCCAAATGTTTGCTCTGTTTTATGTATGTATGACTTGTTTCACAGTACAGTACAGTCTGCACGAACATCATAATTATATTATAATTTATTCAGTAAAATTTACTTACAGGTTTAGAAATGGATAAGCATGTATATAAACTATACAGGTATACAATTCACCATGAATATAGACAATGTAGGTACTACAGTACAGTGTACAGTGCATAAGCCACGGAAGTAGAGTGCAGTATACGATCATTTTACCGCCGATCATTTATCGACCCAGGGTTTTACCTTAAATTGGCGGGCAAGTGATGGTTATGACCGCACAGTGTCTCACTCTCCATTGTCATATGCTGATCTAGGATACTCGCTTTCATCTGGTAGTGTACTATCGCATGCAGTAGGATCTTGAGTTTTGCCACTCATTGGTACTGGTTTAGCCTCACAAATTACAATTCAGAACTCCCTGGAAAAATTGGCTCCTGCAGTACTGACCCAACAACCTCCCCAACGGCTTCAATTTTATGGTAAATCCAATGTCATCAGCCTTATTTAGTCTACAGTGCATTTCCTTTTATCCAAATTCCACCCGCCACTTCTCCTGGGCTATGCATCCAAACGTAGCTTCTCACATCTGTCCGGGCTGAGGTTTGAACCCTTGACATATTGGTGAGAGTTACGTGCGTTACTGCTGTACCACCAACACCCCTGAACAAATTATGTTGAACCACTGTGAAAAATGTATGATAATTTAACTCAAAATGCATACGAAGAGTAATTCCTAGACTGGACCTTGAGTTTGACCACCATATATTCCATCGCTGATGTCACACACGACCACATGGAGGGTGAGTCAGCTGTTCAGTCCACACACTTTAATGTATGGTAATATATTACTTTATATAGGTTGGCTTGGCAAATTAATATTATTCACACACACACACATCATTTTTATCATCTGTTAAGTTTTCAATTTTTATTTGCACCATTTTATTGAGTTATTTGGTAGATATACTACTGTAAGTGAAATAAAAAATGTGGCAACTTTGCAGTGGGTGGCCAGCCAGCCAGCCACGAGGACTGTGATTGGAGAAATTAATTTGCTTATGCTGTACATAAATGTTTATGGCATTTGATGCAGCTACTGTATTTATTATAAATACCAAAATTTCAAGTGTATCAAGTGTCATAAATATTTGTAAGCAGGGTAATTGGGCACACCTGTATATGCCTGAATGGTATTATGGTTAGCCACAAAACAATCAGGGATAGAATGATAGTGGTGGTGATATACAACCCTTGCATATAGTTGTGTTAGAAGCTCTTTATCTCAATTTTTTCTCCTGGGAGGACCCCAACCATGCATATGGTTTAACCATGCAAGTGAACCGCCATTCAAGCATGGTAAAATGATTGTCTACTGTGTACAGAGACAGTGCAGGTAACAACAATGGTAAACAGTTAGACAGCTTGACCAAGGTTAGCTGACAAAGCTGGCAAAGGTGTTTATTTTCTATGTTCAACTTAATTTGTGAAGAAGTACTAAGAGTTTTTTAATATGTTTCATATTAGTATCTCACAGTAATGGAAATCTCTAATAACTGGAATTGAGATTGTGTTCTGATATTATTCTGGCAATGTGTCTCATTTTCTAGTACTGTACCATCTTTGTCTTACTGTAGCACAACTTTCGATGCGATTTTCTTGCAGTTTTTAAAAATGTCACTTCTCCCATCATGGTGCTGGGTTGCACATATATACTGTATACAGTGGATAATTATTTTATATATCTTCTTCAGGTGGCAAGTAACCAACTGCAGCAACTCACAGCGAACGGGCCGAGTACTTTGTCTGGACGGCGGAGGAATCAAAGGGCTGGTGATGACACAGATGTTATTTGTCATTCAAGAGATGTTGGGCAAACCCATTAGGGAGTGTTTTGACTGGATATCGGGCACTAGCACAGGCGGCTTCCTGGCTCTTATGCTGTGTTCAGGTGAGAGCTTACAGGCAGCAGGTGAGTGAGTGAGTGAGAAGTTAGGTTACAAGCAGTAGATGAATGAGTGAGAGGTTAGGTTAGGTAAAGATGGGTTAGGTTAGGTTGGCTTGGTTTGGTTTAGGTATTGGTGAGGTTAGGTGAGGTTAGGTTAGGTTAGGTGAGATGAGATGAGATGAGATGAGATGAGGTGAGGTGAGGTGAGGTGAGGTGAGGTGAGGTGAGAGTATATGAGCAGCAGATAAGTGAGTGAGAGGTTAGGTTTGGTGAGGTTAGGTTGGCTTTGGTTAGGTAAAGATAGGTTAGGTTAGATAAAGATAGGTTAGGTTAAGATAGGTTAGGTTCGGTAAAGATAGGTTAGGTGAGAGGTTACAGATAGTAAACCAGGCTGTTACACACTCTTTCTGTTTATGTCTGTCTACATACCTGTCTGTCTTTATATCTGTCTATCTGTCCTGTTCACATATCTGTCTGTCTGTCTTGTTCACATATCTGTCTGTCTGTCCTGTTCACATATCTGTCTGTCTGTCCTGTTTACATATCTGTCTGTCTGTCCTGTTCACATATCTGTCTGTCTGTCTGTTCACATATCTGTCTGTCTGTCCTGTTACATATCTGTCTGTCTGTCCTGTTCACATATTGGTCTGTCTGTCTGTCTGTCCTGTTCATATATCTGTCTGTCTGTCTGTCCTGTTCACATATTGGTCTGTCTGTCCATCCTTCTGTTCATATATCTCTGTCCTGTTCATATATCTGTCTGTTTGTTCTTTTGTTCCCATATTTGTTTGTCCTGTTCATACAGTGGGGTATGCTATAACGAATCTAATTGGTTCTAGAACCTTGTTCGTTATAGCATTCGTTTGTTATAGGATTAATCCGTTCCAGGCCCCCAAATACAACCACTTAACACTGAAAAATATAATATAAAATTGTAAAAATTGTAAAAAAGTGCATAAATATGCATCTAAACCCCTGAAATAAAGAATATCATTAATATTTGTAATAATAAAACAATAAATTAGAAAAAAAAAAAATTAAATTATGTTCGTTGTAGGAGTTTCGTTCGTTATAGCATTCTCAATTTTATAGGTAAAACCGTTCGTTATAGGAATATTCGTAGTAGGATCTGTTCGTTATAGCATACCCCACTGTTATCTGTTTCACCTTCTGTTCATATATCAGTCTGTTTGTCCTTTTGTTTACATATGTCTGTCTGTCCTTCTGTTTGTAAATCTGTCTGTCTGACCTGTTTGGATATCAGTCTGTCTGACCTGTTTGGATATCTGTCTAGTATTATTTCACTTGTTGCAACTAAACGAATCGCAGAAATTTTATAGTTGTAATCAGTAATTTTGACAATTCTAAGACACTTTTCATCAATGGCATTTCTGGCACAAATTACATCTTAGCGAGATATTTAACATTTTATCGTGTATGTGGCGGTACACATCCAGAACATCAAACAACGGTGGAGGCCCCCCCCCCTGGTTAGGTTAGGTTAGGTTAGGTTTGGTTGGTTGGTTAGGTTAAATTCAAAACTGTTTTCCCTATGGTTTTTTATATGTTTTGAATAATTTTTACCTTGATTTTTATAGGAAATCTCTAGATTCGGAGATGGGGGGGGCTTATCTCAGAAACTACTGAAGGTCACATTCATTCATAACACATTAAAAATCGTAGTTGCAACTTCTATTTCATTTAGTGGTATGTGAAAAGTTACCATTTGTCTGTGTGGCCTGTTTGTTCATGTATCTGTCTGTCTGTCTGTCTGACCTTCTGTTTGCATATCTCTGTCTGTCCTGTTCACATATCTGTTTGTCTGTTCTTCTTTTCGTATATCTGTCTGTCCTTCTGTCAGTCTCGGTTTGTAGAGTATCTCCACTACACAAGGGTTAATAGTTCCTTCTCACACAAGTATTGACTGTAGATTGAGAGTGATGGTGTAGGAATTGTTGCTTAAGAGTTCAGTTCTCACACGAGCAAAAATGGTCAGGTTTTTATTCCTCTGAATTCACTATTTATTGTTTGTTTTTAATGTATTCATACGGTAACATCCCCATATAACGTGCTTCGATCTGACGGAATAACCAGTACATATACTGTACAGGTAGTCCGTCAGAAGAAAGTTCTTATATAATCCCAAGCCCAATCTAACCAAATTCCAACCTTCTCTCTTATAGTCCATTAAAATGAAGTCACATATTTGTACATCCACCACAAAAAGTTGTCTAATACTCTAAGGGTCATACAATAGCAAAACGAATAAGAAATCTGAACATCGGTCTCTGAGGAAGTTTTATTGTAAATTGTAATACTTCTTTACACCTGTAAATATTATAAAGACGAGCAACATATATTATTATGAAATATTGAGTCACTTTGCAATCAGGTACTCCAACCATTCTGAGATGACACGAGCTATGGTGCTCATTCTGAAATCTGTCGGCCTAGCTGTTTGAGAACTTTTTTGTGGCAGGTGTACATACAGTATTGTACAAACTTTTTTTTTCTTATTACAGGATGTTTTATTACTTTGAATTATTATTTTCTTTAACCTTGTAAGCTTATATCTGCGGCATATGGCCTAAGCTGTTGCATTTTCAGTGATGTTATGACCACAGTCAATCAATTTTTTCACAGGAAAATCTGTGCAAGATGTACAGTCACTGTATTATAACCTGAAGGAAAAGGTTTTTGTCGGTGGACGACCTTATGAGGCCGGACCTCTGGAGGAAATACTGATGAAGGAGTTTGGTGAAGACACAATGATGAGCAGCATCAAGTCTCCTCGTGTCATGGTGACGTCCACTCTGGCCGACAGACTTCCACCCGATTTACATCTATTCCGTAACTACGAGTCTCCGATGAGTGTCTTAGGTGAGTTTATGATTTATTATGTTAACATAAGGCGGGGTAACCGGAAGAGTTTTGTTTTAAAGTCCTGAAAATAACTTAGAATCTATAAAAGTAAATATCTCCAACTTGTTTAGATAATTGACCAACAGGCCTTAGCATTTTCCTACTTGGAATATGTAATTTTTTTAGACTTGCTTTTTGCAGTACTGTACAACATTGTTTAAAATTCTTAATTTTTTTTTAAATCTCTATTAAATGGAGTCAGTTTATTGACATTAAAAATGGCCTTTGAAAAAAACAAATATTGGACTTTAAAAAAAAAAAAACATTTCCAAGAGTGGCCCAGTTACCCCACCTTCTGTTATGAGTTATTTGCCTTATTTATCTTATTATTTTCTCTGTTACAGTGAAATATCTATATGATGGACTTCTCTCTCCGTTACATGGGGGTTTCTCATCTAATGAACCCTCGATATAACGGACTTTCATACCTATATCGTTCATTCGTTAGATGGAGGTTTCACATCTACATTGTTTCTTAGATGGAGATTTCACATCTAACGGACCCCGATATACGTAATGGAGTTGTCTCTTCACATAATCCATTAGATGGGAGGTTTTGCATCTTATGAACCCTTGTTATAACAGGCTTTAAAATCTACATTGTTCATTTGATGATGGTGCTACATCTAACGGACCCTTGATATAACAGATATTCCTCTCGATATAGTCTGTTAAATAGAGGTTTCAATGGAATGAGGCTTACCTATAATTTCAGGTATACAAGAAAACAATGTCTTCATGACCACACAACGGCCCGATACACAAAAGATGTGGCTCGCTGCTCGCTGTTCTGGAGCTGCCCCCACTTATTTCAGGTATTGTTTAAACTTTCAGAGCTAAGCACAGTGTTCTATAGATCCATCCTTGTGTAGTAAGAAGTCTGTCTATTCATATTTGCTCTCCCCATATCTGTTGGTTGTACAGCGGTAAGAGTGATGGTGGTACTGTGGTAACGTGCATAACTCTCATCAACATGTCAAGGGTTCGAGCCTCGCCCAGGACACACGTGACTCCCTACCAAACACTCCCACAGGTTTCCCGGTCCCCGGTTTCCTCTGGTACTAACACTGGATAGACCGCCCAAATGGCTAGTGAGCTGATAAGTGGCGAATATGATAAAAAATAAATAAATAAATTTCAAGAAAATTTATGCAATAATTTTTTTTTAACGTCAAGTGTGACATGTACTAAAATAATAATGATAACTTATAATACAGTGACAAACTAAACATGGATTTCAACATTGCACAAGAAACAGTTTCTTGGCAGAGTAATCCACAGTTTTCTTTCTTTATTTCAAACTTCTTTTGAGACCTACAGTTGCTTCAGTAAGTTCACTTCAATGTTATGTACAGTATCTCAACAAATATCTGTCCACACAATGGGTGAAACATTATGAGACCACGGATGATAGATATTGGGGCAGGCATTTACTTCGGTATATAGTTTAACATAAGTAATGTAATGTGTATTTATTTTGGAGTAATTAATATGATGTTCAGTTACCAAATGTACTATGCCACAGAGCCAGGCATACCAACCCTCCTGAGACATTACGAGTTGCATGTATCATTTCATAATTCATATGACCCATCCTGGCAGATACTTGTTTAGATACTGTACTGTCACCAACCAAATACTTTTGTCACGCCTGGTAGCATCTGGCTACACCTTATACTATGTGGGTCGTACCACCTTAGAGTATCCCCAGTGTTGGTAAAGCATGGATGTAAAAGGCCATCTTGTGATTGGTCAGTACCATCTTGTGATTGGTCTGTACCATGTGATTGATTCTTTTAGCAATTTGTTGCCAGATGCTACCAGATGTGTCGAGAGTATTTTGTCGGTTACTGTACCACTCTGGATCAGCTCCCCAGCAGCATTCTGAGGGAGGGAGGAACACTGCCGTGCCAGAATATTGTAAATTTGTCTGCATTTAACAGCTACTCACCAGAGCAACACAGATTTCATGCAAGTGGCTTTAAACCTTAGTCTTGCAGTGCTTTGAAAAACTATTGTGAGTCAACAGGCACCAAGATAAACTATAGAGCCACAGTTAACTTGACTCAAACCTCTCACTCAGACAACAGGCACTGAGATAAACTATAGAGCCACAGTTAACTTGACTCAAACCTCTCACTCAGACAACAGGCACTGAGATAAACTATAGAGCCACAGTTAACTTGACTCAAACCTCTCACTCAGACAACAGGCACTGAGATAAACTATAGAGCCACAGTTAACTTGACTCAAACCTCTCACTCACAAAATATGTCCTGCAAAACATCCTTTTTCTTATTTCCTTTAACTGCTGACCTGTTGTTGTCCACGGTTTATTTCCATTTTTTGTCTACTCTGAAACTGTCACATATTCCCAGATTTATCAATGCATTTTTTATCAATTAATTAAAGTTATATATACTGTACTAGCAATAGAAACATAGGAAAGAAAGATATACGTATATACACTGGGGGTCAAAAAAAAAAAAAAGCATGGGATTTATGAAAGTATCTGCAAATGAGATACTTTGTTCATATAATTAGGGATGAGGGGATAATAACAGAACTTGATCTCACTCTCCTTTCCTGTATATATTTGCCTTGTTTGTAACTACTCCTTAGTCTGTACTCACCCCTGAAGACGTGAATTACACGAAAGCGCTTGGGAACTTTGTGTTTTCTTTTTTTCCTGTGTGGTTGTCAGCATACACATGCATCAGATGCACCTCCAGTGATTTGTTTGCATTATGAGCGAAGTTGAGGGTAAGAGGGCCAGGGGAAGGCAGAGACTAGGATAGGTGAATGAAATTAAAAACTGGTTCCTCAGAGATTGGTAAAAACTGCCCGATAACATTTAGAGTGGAGGACTGTGGTTGCCAACTCTCAGATATGAGGACAGTACAGTACTCTGATTTGTTTATCTGCAAAGTCAGAAATCTGTAACTTGGGAAGTGTCTGTACCTCAAAAGGAAGTGCAATAGGCAATAAGGAATGAAGGAGCATCTTGTACATAAGTTATGTTATTTGTATGAGAGTTTGAGAGCCAGTGTAAGTTGTAAATAATGAAGTATTAAAAGATCAAATTTGGGCATCCATTGAGGGCCTGTCATGGGCTGGTTGGACACTGTGTACATGCGAGCATGGTTTTGTGCCCACAACTAGAGTGGTGAGTGGAAGTTTGGGCCACTGTTAGATTAGGTTAGGATAGGTTGGATTAGATTAGGTTAGGATTGGATAGATTAGGTCCTAACTACCTTGGCCCGAAACCAATCATCCTGTGGTGACTCAAACATTTTATTAGTTATCCTCTTCATGTTTATGTTGTCACAGGACTGGTGGTTTCAGGCTTACCAACACCATTATGTAGGCAACAAATTTTTTAATAATAATTTTTTTTCTCTTTTTGGGGGTGGGGGGACAGATATTATTATACTGTATATAACTTATTATATCATCAGAGACTAAAAAAACAAGTAATTTAGAGTAATCTTATTTCCTGTTAGGTGTGGCAAGACTGTGAAGAAAGATGATAGCAGTAAAAGAACCTTGAATACATCCACCAAAAGGTATATAGTATAGTAACAATGAGCCGCAACACCTCTCTCTTTTTATTTTAAACTAGTCATTTTGTGTGATGATTTAATGTGTTGTACTCATGAGTCTTGCTCTGAAAGTGTTCACGGAATGTTTTTGTTTTTTCTGTAAGATTCTGCATGAGACCAAATCCATTATATGTGTAACCATCAACACATGGGTCCGATGATTTCCAAAATGATCAATAAAATACAGCTATAATGTAACCACCAACAGGAACCACACTACACATTGTTCACAAGGTTAATCTATTTTTTTCTGAAAGTGCACATAATGACAGTACTGTGTGCACATAATAACAGTACTGTGTGCACATAATAACAGTACTGTACTTATTATGGATAAAGTAGGAAATGTCACTAGCTAGCAGGTGATATACAGCATTTTTGCAATATCCATCGTCTGTGGTGTCAGATTGTTTCATCGTGTGAAATATGCACTGATACTGTTTTGATCGTGTATAGTTTTCCACCCCTCAGTGGCCTTTTCCAACATGTGGCAACATCAGAATCATAGTTGAACTTTCTTTACAGATATCACATCTATCATATTGCTTAGCACAAATCTTGAGTAGTAATATCTCCGTTAGCCGAATCCCTCAAACCCGGAACTCTCCGATAGCCGGAATTGAAATTTTCTCGGAAAATCATTCCCATAGCCGGAATTTTCTGGAAAATTCCGGCTATGGGAACGACTTTTCGAGGGGCACGTTTTCTGGAAAATTCCGAGAAGATTTATCCGGGTTTGAGAGATGAAAATTGGGTGCATTTTCCAGAAATTCCAAGAACAATTTTCCGGAACCTGGAATATTCCGGGGATGGGGGATATTTTTCCGTGTTTGAGAGGTGATGTAGTGCTCAATTTCTGAAACTTCTGAGAATATTTTTCCATTGCCCGGAAAATTCCTAGGATGAGGGATTTTTTTCCGGCTTTGAGAGAGTTCTCGTTACCTGGAAATATCTCATTCCCGGAAATGCTCTGCACCAATTGTTCCTTAGTGACGGACATATCACTCAAATATTACCCCCAAAAATGTATTGTTGGCCACATGTTCAAAAAGGCCACAAGGGGTAAAACACAATAGTACCTGAGGCAACTGTACCTAGATATGGCATTTAAATACAGTACAGTATAGTCTTCATTTACGCGGTCAATTGAACCCGTGGAGGTCCGTGTAAAAAGAGAAATGCGTAAACGAAATAACAGAACATAAGGGATTAATTGAAATAGAGACTGGACCGACCCCCAAACTACACTTTTTCCGACACAATACCTACGTTGTAGTAAAAATAACATCTTAATTTTATGATGGTATGCACACACAATTAATATTTAAGAGAAATATCAATAATATTAGGTTTTTTAACTTTTACATTAGTAGAAAAGATGGCTGGGCACACGGGGATGGGGGGCTGGTTCCGAGGCAGAGGGCAGATTATTGGCCCTCACCTGTATCACTTGTATCAATTGTATCACTATCCACCACAGAGGCTTGCAGGGCCTCTTTGTCAAACCCTTCAAAGTCCATATCCTCACTATCACTGACTTGGGCCGGCTGTGGTGGGTGGCGGGTGAAGAACTCGGGAATGTTTTGTTGACTGGGCGACCTTGTGCGCACCCTGCCTGCGCCGCTTCCCGCGCAAATTATGGAATGAACCGTGTAAATAAAAATTGTCGGTCTGGCAAGGTGCCGCGTAAATGACCAAACGCGTAAACCAAGTCCGCATAAAGCGAGACTATACTGTACTTCCAAAAGCTCCCCAACTCAATTAATTGTAACACAACCCAATACTGTACTTTCTTTGTGAATGTCAAGAACAATGGTGTCTGTGTGTAGTAGTGTACACATTACCAGTGGAATAATGATTAACCCTTTGAGGATGATTTAACCCTTGGAGGATGATGGTTTAACCTTTGAAGATGATAATTTTACCCTCAAAGAAATGTAATTTAATTTAACCCTCTAAGAACTATAATGTAACCCTGTGAAGATGATGATTAATTTAACCCACTCATACTTAAGTGTTAACATTCACTTAGAGTACAAGTCACCCACAAAAGTCTTGTCAATCGCCTCTCCTCCTGAACCGAGAACCCCGTCGAGACTCAGACTTGTGAATCTTAAGCATTTGTGGCCAGAATATAATGCATCAGTGTCTATACCAATTTGGATTCATGAGTCTGAAACTGGGGGTTCATGAAGCAGACTCAGAGGCAATGGGACATTTTATGGTGACTGTAATGGTTGATAAATATACATGTAAAATCTTTGCAGCAGAAATTAATGTCCGATACTTTTAAAACCTTCATTTAATGGACTTCAATCTTACGGGTATAGTCTGTTATATGTGTGTTTCAGATTTAACGGACCCTGATAATAATAGTACACTCTCCCATATACTGTTGTTTGTTATATTCAGGTTTCATATCTAATGGACCTTGATGTAATGAACTGTAGTCTCTTATATATAGTATGTTATGTGGAGGTTTCACATCTAATGGACTGTAGTCTCCCAAATAACCCCCTGTAGTCCATTATATGGAGGTTTGATATTGAATAAACTTCTATATAACAGTCTACACTCTCCTATTTGTCTTATGTGGGTGTTTCACATCGAACAAAAACTTGATATAATGGACTACACTCCCATATAATTTATGTTGAGGTTTCATATCGAATGAACCTCGATATATATGGACTACACTCTCCCATATAGTCTGTTAAATAGAGGTCTCACTGTAGATGTCTTTTATAAAAATTCTAGAACACTCTTTCTCTTCTTTTCTTTTTTCAGTGCCAGTGAGAAGTTTCTTGATGGTGGCTTGGTGGGGAACAATCCAGTTTTAGATACACTCACTGAGATCGAAGAATGGAACATGGCGGTGCGTGCTAAGGGTCGGGAATCTGAGGTCTTCACTCCTACTGTTGTCGTGTCCTTGGGTTGTGGCAAACCTCCAGTGTTGTTGGTGAGTGTAGCTCAGTACCACTACAGTAACATTTGATGGGAAAAACACAGGAAACAGCTAGATTTCTTTATTTCTCTAACGTTTTGGGCTGCACAGGTTCTGTGTAGGCTGACATTAACACAATGCAACATCCCCTGCCATGATAGTTCCAAAACTACCCAGACCTTCACTTGCTGTGGGTCTGGCTACAAGGGGTGGGTAGCAGTTACTGCTTCTGACTGTACTTCCTCCCTCTTATGGTTTCTCTCCCCGACTTTGTTCTCTAATTTCTAGCTTCCTTGAGAACCAATTCATGGCAGTTGTTGTCGACGGATTGATCTCTCGCTCTTTCTCTACCAATAGTGGTGTCCCACAGGGTTCTGTTCTTTCACCTACTCTCTTCCTTCTTTTTATCAATGATTTACTTCACACTACGATTAATTCTATTCATTCTTATGCTGATGATTCTACTCCTCTCTCTTCTTCACATTTTTCCCTTCCCCCTAATTCTCAAACTAAATCTGTTTCTAGAGCTGGTATCATTACATCTATCAACGCGGATCTGTGCACCATCTCCGAATGGGGAGGTAGAAACATGGTTAAGTTCAATAGTAATAAAACTCAGTATTTACCAATGACACTTTCCAAATTGGATGATCTCCCACCAATCACATTTCAGGATGCAATCATTCTACCAAATTCTAAAATAGATATGCTAGACCTCACTATTTCCTCTAATATGTCATGGAAACCACACATCCACAACATTGCTAAAGCTGCCTCCCGAAAGCTGGGAATGCTGCACAGATGCCGTAGCTACTTCACTCCTGAGCAGTTGCTTCAAGTATATAAGGGATTCATTTGTCCTAACTTGGAGTACTGCTCTCATAACTGGGGTGGCTCTTCTTCTGTCCAACTGTTAGATAGGGTGGAATCAAAGGCATTTCATCTTATTGACTCTCCTCCTTTAGTTGATAATCTTCCTTCCCTTTTTCTTTGCCGCAATGTTGCTTCACTCTCTTTTACAGGTACTTTAACAGGCAATGTTTGGTGGATTTGGCCAAGGTACCCACCGTATCTCTGTGGATGTTGATCACACTAGAATAACCCGTTATAGTGCATCCTTCTTTCCTCACACAGCCAAACTGTGGAATGCTCTGCCTTCTTCTGTGTTTCCAAACTCATACAATCTGTCTCACTTCAAAAAGCTGGTTTTCCTGCATCTTCGTGGTGTACATTAATATGACCTTTTCTTTACTATTTTTCATTTCTTTTGCTCTTATTTTTTCGCCCCCCTAAGCCCCGTTGTGGGTCGATGACCTGTGCTCAGGTGGGCTATTCCCCGTAAAAAAAAAAAAAAAGATCTGTACGCATGTGAACTACTGAATGTTCACACATATACAGATGATAATTTTTATTTATACAGTAGTACAGTACAGTACTGTATTTGTTGTCATTTTATATTAAATTCTCTATCATCATCAGTGGTTTCGTCAGAAACTTCTTTAAAGCCATAACAGTTAGAAAAGTCTTTTATGGCTCCATGCTTATCTATTAAAGCATGATTAAATAAGTTTAAATATTTTATTTATGATGATATACAGTACAGCATAATTCTAATATTGTTTGTATCTCAATCTCTCTCCATGTATACTGGGAAATATAGATAGAATTGAGCTTTACTTAAATAAATTTATATACTGTATGAGGAAGCACAGAACTGAAGTAGGACAAACAAGCACTGGTATGCCCAGAATACAATATAGTACCATATTATGTCTTTCACTAGTTATCAATTAAATCTGCACTAACAATGCTTCAACACTCTGCCTCTTGAATCACTTCAATATCTTCACTGGTTCCAAAGTTATGGTAGTTTGAAGATCCGCAAACATTTAATTGCGTTCTTCTTTGTTTTTCATATACGGTACTTGTCCTACTTCATTAATGACTCTTCCTTTTTAAAACTCTTTGTTAGCAGGTCTAAACCAGGTATCCTCTACGGTCTACCAAAGGTACACAAGGATGATTGTCCCTTATGCCCTATGTTGTCTGCCCTCGGCACCTTCAACTATAGTCTGACCAAATTCCTTGTTCCCATATTGTCACCAATAACTTATAATCAATATTCTGTTAAAGACTCTTTTAGCTTTGTGAAGGAACTAACCAGCATCTCGTTCAACAACTGTGTTATGGCTAGCTTTGATATACAATCTCTATTTACCAACATTCCTCTTGCCGAAACTATTGACATATTTACACTCGGTAAAAAACTACCGTACGGGTGGGGTCCGATGATTTTCCAACTGTGAGACATTTCGTACTTAATTTGGTAGGCTGAAATGATCTATTTCATTGACAGTATTGAATTACTTTGTTACAATATGACTTGAGAATGTCAGTATATCTCGATAAGTTAAACTGTATGTTATGTTAAATGTTCCACACACTGTGGACTACAGTGTGGATGAGTGGCCATACAGGAATGCATTATATGTTTGGCAGAATTAGTGGATATAGTAAAGGTATAAGATTATTTTGCAACCAAATTTCGAGTCTGTATTTGTATTGCTACTTCACTTTGGGCTAATGCCACATTATGTCATTCTTTATTTGTATTGGAATATATACCATGCATGCCGTCATAATGGAACCCGGCCCAATGACGTTTTATTATGGTCGATAATTCCGGAAAGTCTAGTACTGGGTTTCGTTTCAGAGTTCCAATCGCTTGTTTGGAGCACGTGTGGCCAAACAAATACATGCGCATGGCTACCAATGCAGGGAATGCCTCAGGGGCCTTTTGAAACACTTCGTATGTAGTGTCAGTTTGTTTCGTGCAGGAATTGAAACGGTATTTTTTTTTACTGAGTGTACAGATGAATTGTTCTCAAATACAGATATAGTTGATGGATTTAATAGACCACAATTTTAAGAATTTTTACAACAGACTGTAAATGTTTGTTTTTATTTAAAAACAAAGCTTATAAACAATGTGATGGTGTTGCTATGGGTTCACCCTTAAGTCCTACATTGGCCATTGCTTTCCTCTGCCACCACGAGAAGTTTTGGCTAACCGAATGTCCCGCCCAATTTAAGCCTTTATTCTATCGACGTTATGTTGATGACACATTTTTAATTTTCACATCACTTGATCATGTCCCTGTTCCTAAATTATCTAAATTCGAAGACAGCCTTATACAGAAAACCAACATTCACAGGTTTGGGTAAAAAAGTTTCATCATTTGTTCCTCTTAATTACAAATGAAATATAGTGTGTATTCTTACTGACAAAGCCTTTAATATATGTTCAAGCTATTTCCACCTGGACATTGAACTGAAATGCATAAAGAAACTACTCTTTAACAATGATTTCCCGAAGAGATTTACAGATACTCATACTATAGGCAAAACCCTTAATTGGATTTTTGGTCCCACACAGCCACACCTTTCCTAAATATTCTATCTGTTTCACCATCCCGTACACAGGCCCACCCAGTTTCACCCTTAGAAACAAACTTATGAAGCTTCTCAATGAATTCTATCCACCAATTTCTCTTAGACTAGTCTTCAAAGCCCAGAGTTCAATTAAAAATTTCTTTAAAACTAAAGACACCATACCCACACACTTGCAATCCTCAGTTGTTTATCAATTTATGTGTGCTAGCTGTAGGGCAGCATTTATAGGTAAAACAGAAAGAAACTTGATAACTCACATCCATGAGCACTTGGGTCGTTTCGTCCGAACAGGCCAGTTAATCCCACAACCACCACATTCAGCTATCCGTAACCATGCCCACCAACATGGCAACCTGGTTTTGCAGTCTGATTTCTCAGTTCTTGGCAGGAGCAACTGTGAGATGGACCACCTCATTATGGAAGCCTTGTATCAATATAAAGTAAAGCCTTCCATTTGTGAATTTTTTTGTTTCTCGCACTAAGGCTCGTCTCAGTTAGGGTAATACCCCAGTATGTTTTAGGTTTTTCTGATTTTAGTTTTGTATGTAGGTCTCCCATCATTTTTATTGGTTTTAAATTATAATGCTCTCTTAAAAAAATTTGCGAAAGATGAATTTTAAAATACTGTTTCGTATTTATTGTAGTATATTAACTGTAATGTTTAAAACTTTTTGTCTGTTTTCTAGGCTCTGATGATGGAAAGTGATTTTGAAATGTTAGTAATTAACAAAACCCAGCTTAGTCAAGATGTTTGTGCTTTCCCTGGTTCTCCTCTTTATAATGAAACTACTCTTTCCACGTAACAAGTCCATTGCTGAAGTTATATATGTTATATATTATAACTATTAGTTTTGGGCTAAATATAATAATGTGTGTATTTTTCACAGGTTGATACTGTTGACATTACCATGCCAAGTATTCTTGACGTACGTCGAGGTCTCCAAGCAATGTACAATCTATTCAATGTATTGGTGGAACAAGCCTGCAGTTCAGAAGGTCGGATTGTGGACAGAGCACGCACCTGGTGTTCCACCCTTCATGTTCCATTCTTCCGTTTTAACCCCCAGCTGTCTCAAGACGTAGCCTTAGACGAACACGATGATGAGTGTTTAGTCCGCCTCATGTGGGAAACTCGGGCATACATGAAGTCTCAGGCAAAGATTTTAGCTCAACTAAAACCTCTCTTGATAGAACCAGAGGCAGAACCTGTACCTCCACCACGGCAGCTGACCCCAACTAAGTCTAAGTGTAGTTCGTGTGTTTCTGTATCTGTCAGTTCTAATCATGAAGATGTCTCGGATACGGTTCACAGCCATGCTTCAGAGGGCACATCCCTCGATGAGGAAGGCAGCTATCACTCCACCCTTCCGGAGTGTACCGCTACTGTTGAAGATATGTCAGATGAGGTGTTACAGGTTGAGCAACCCTCAACCCTCGATTCTGTGTCGAGCAGTGAGGCGGCAGCTTCATCACCTGAGGATAGTAATAGTCATGACATTATGGACACAACCATTTGAAGATTTACCATCTGTTTCCTTCAAAGCTGCTGAGTAGAAAACTGTTGCCATCTCTCTCTTTTTTTTTATTACCATGGTACCATTGTTTCAAAATATGTGTGCCATACAGATTTAACCATCTTAATATTAAATATGGTGTATTTAGGATATATAACTCATGTTGAGGTGCTATGCTTGCCTATGATATGATTTTGCAGCGTTTTAATGATATCATTTTTATTTTGAAATGGACTTTATTTAATAACTTCTTTTTTAAAGTTGAATTACTTTATCTTCCTACCTTTACTTGTTAAGTTAGGTAAGGAATTTTTCAAGTTGAAGAATCCTACGGTATCTTATATTTCTATATGTTTGCATTTGTGTCATTGTAAGTACAGTAGTGGCAGCTTTAAAATCAAGTCTTCCTGTGTCTCCAATAAGTTTCTTATTCACACAAGACATTTATTGTTTAATTATACAAAAAGGTTTATATATAGATTTTACATTTATGTGCCAACACTTCATGGAGATACTTAAATTCTTGTCAAAGGTTTATTTGTTGTTCTCAGCGCTCCTTGGTTCACGCTCGTAAACACATTTGTTGTTGTTCCTGACGCTCCGTAGCTCAAGCTCATAAACATTCATTTTCACAGTGCCGTTTTGTTTTCTCTTCCTAGAAGAATTTCATGGAACTTAGATTCATCACTTCATTTTCTCAACTCACATTCCCATCACAAATTCGGTAATTATTTTATGTATAGTATGTATCATTAGTCCTTATAATGTGTTCCCTCAACCTATTAAGTTTTATCTATAGCTTTTTTCTTTTTTAGCTGATGGTACTAGACTAAGAAGCCCTGCATCCACCTTCTCTGAAGTCACAAACAAATTTATGCTTCCGGAGAATGGGGGCACTGGAGCTTCTTACTCCAGTACCATCAGCCAAAAAAATGACTATAGGTTTGTTGTTACATGGTCTACCTCTGGTGTCTCAGGATCCTATAGCTTTGTTTATGATTTTTCACCTCCCCAAATTCTCAGGTTTCTAGTCATGCTCTGGTTGTTTGTTATCTGTTCTATCTGTCTCTTATACTGTATAGTTGGCTGTTCTAGTTATACAATACTACTTATGTATACCGGCAGTCCACGAGTTACGAATGCTTGCACTTATGAACACCTGCACTTGCAAACACCCACATTAATAAACATCCACACTTACAAATTCCCACATTTATGAACATCCACTCTTATGAATGCCCACACTTACAAACATCTGCATTTATGAACACCCACACTTATGAACACCCTCACTTACAAACATCCGCATTTATGAACACCCACACTTATGAACACCCTCACTTACAAACATCCGCATTTATGAACACCTGCACTTATGAATGGGATTCCTCTTCATCTCAAAATTTTTTAACTAAAATCCCATTCTTTTTACATTAATTTATTATTCTGTATAGTTTAATGTAACTTTTTTTTTTCATGGGGAATAGCCCACCCAGGCACAGGTCATCGAAAAAGTAAGAGTAAAAGGAAATTAAAAATAGAAAAGATAAAGCAGTATTTACGTTATGGCGGTAGCAATGCGTGTGATGGGGGGTGCTGGAGGGGGTTTTGAGAATTGCAATTAAATGCCAGATAGCGACGTGTCCTAATATTGTGTATTTACCAAGTAATTATTAGATGTTTTAATTGCCTGTATGTTGGCCTGGCGAGTTAATGCTACATACCTAGGTATAAAGCTAGACGTCGCATTCTGGACTGTATATCACAAAAACTATTTATTATGTTTGGGATATTATTTTTGTTTTGTACAGTCAAACCTCTATTTAACGGACTATATCGAGTGGAAAGTCCATCTTGAGGTAATCAATCAATCAAATGGAGTACCGTCCTCATATCTGAGGGTTGGTGACCACAGTCCTCCACTCTAAAAGTTCTTGGGCTGTTTTTACCAATCCTTGAAGATTTTGTATCTCTCTGGGGACCTAGTTTTTAATTTCAGTCATCCATCCCAATCTCTGTCTTCCCCTAGCCCTCTTACCCTCAATGCCCATTAATGTTTTTTATATTATCTCATCTGTAAATATATGACCAAAGTATCATTTTTTTCTGTACATTTCAAGTACTGTATAGTACATACGAAGCATTCATAAAGTTACTTGATAGCGGGTTCTTCAACTTTCATTTACATAGGATGACCAAGGGTTAACAAATACAATAATTTATCTTACTATTCTATGTATTTTTTTTTTATCGAATTAAGCTTTTCAAAGATTTCTGTATAGTTTTGACTCTAGCTATATAGTCTGTCTGAGTAGCTATTGCAAACAAGGAAGTTTACAACATTCATACAGAAGAGCTGATCTAGTTTTGTTTTGTGTATGGTGCTTGTTGGCTCAGGATTAAAGGGAAGTTTCTCAAGTTGGAAGAGACATACCAGTATTAGTTTAGTTTACTTTTATTACTGTACTATATTTTAGTTTGGCGTACGATATTTATTTTTAGTATATATACAGTAGTGTTGGTCTGTCGTATACTCAACATAGCTTAATTCTCTCACAGTTAGATTCCTTCTAGTCATATATTTTTTGTTAGATTTAGTGATTATTAGGTAATTGAGTGGAACTTTTAATACAGTAAAACGGACATCAATGTAACGGTTTATATTCTGTTTCGGGAGGTTCATATCTAATAGGCCTCGATATAATGGACTACACCCATCCCAAATAGTGCATTAAGTAGAGGCCTCACTGTATAATGTCTGTTTTCATCATCTACTTCACATCTCCAATAAGTATAACTAGTTATATTTGTACAAACTGGTATAGAATGATTATTAGCTTGGGTACAGGTAATCAAGATATCTGAAGAAAATAATACAATTGCTACATATATTTTAAGAAGTGGAGTAGTGACTAATATAGTCATTTCTTTGGGTCAGATTTATAGGGATCTTGTTCTTTTTCAAACAAATTCTGTGGCATATGACTTAAGCTGTTGCACCACCAGGGATGTTATTACCTAAATCAACCAATTATTTTAAAACACTGCCAAAATCTAGTATGCTTTGTAATAAATTTTTGATAACTATTCTACTTTTCTTTGCAGTTTATACTAAATTTTTACATTACATTCTTTTTATTTTGGGGGTCCTGTAACTCATCATCCAGTACTAGACAGTGAGAGTGGGTGCAGCTGTGAGCTTCATTCTTATCTACAGGAAGAGAATGACAATGAATTTGTTAGTTTTTTTTTTTTTTTTTTTTATACAGAGACATATACAGTATGGAGAGGATAAATAAGGTGTGTGTATCATTCTGTGACTAAATTTATATTTATTTTTATATAGTTTTTTTTTAAACCTGTGCACCACGGTAGAAATTGGGGGGAGGGGGAATTTGACATTTTATACATGGTAATGTACAGTATTAAAATGCTTATCTCATGATACTTAAGTAGATACAAGGTTTGGCCAATGTATTTGACTGAAGTCTTTTTTTTAGCTGATGGTACAGTCCCCTTCTCTGAAAGCTTGAATTTGTTTGCGACTTCGAAGATAAATATTCTTTATTTCAAACTTTTTTTTTTCACTCATATCTTAAAAGTTAATGTTTTCAAGCAGTTATATCTTTACATACATTAAATTTGTCATTAAAATGAGCCAAAACTGGGTATCTTTAACAGTTATTTATGAATTTATTTTTGATACAGTATATCAGTATTAATCGAACATTATGTAGAAGTCAGTGACCTGCAAGAGAGGGGGGGCAGGGCTTGTACCGTCAGTTAAATTTTTTTTTACCATAGTTTGGGAGCACATCAATAGAATTGGTGACAAAAATAATGAAAGTCATCTGTAGTTTGAATAAAATGACATAATTCAGTGCCTGTACAGTCCACTACTAAATTCCATTCACCTCTCCTTCTGAACCATGAACGCCCGAGGGATTTGGACTCATGAATCCGAAGCATCTTTTAACAAAATAATTGGACTGTATATGTCCGTCTACTGTTTAGGGTTCACGAGTCTGAATCTCTCAGGGGTTTGTGGTTCAGGGAAAGAGGCGAAAGGACTTTAATAGTGGACTGAACATGATGTTGCTGTAACAAATTTGATGCTATTTTTTCTTTTGCCATATCATGTAAAGTACTGCTCGATTATGGCAACATCAGTACTATCCCTGGGATAGTGTAGATCTGCATTCTATATTATTGTTATTGAACAGACATAGCACTAGGTGAAACTATATATCTCTCAGTGTGATGCATTATTATAAGGGTGTTCTTATGAGTTTTGAAATATGATTATGATTCCTATATTTTAAATATTACATTGAGATGGTTAGGTTTAAATTGTAAGGTCTCTTGACTATATTGTACTTATATAACAGGAGTACGGGTGGAAATTAATGGCTTATAAGTACATATCTAAATGCAGTACTGGTATAATCTTGATTTTGCAAACTGTTTGAGGTGGCAACTACTTCCTCCAAAAATGGTGTACCAATACTTTTCAGTGATATTGATACATGTAAACACAAACAACATTAAAGGAGGCATCTGCTACATCACAAATTCTAGAATAACTGTCTGCCAAAATCAAGGGTTGACTGAACTGCAATTAAGAGCATAGGTTTTGAAGTGTGTTGACTATATTTGTATTTTAAATATTAAAAATTTACAGTGAAATCTCGATTTAACAGACTAAACAGAGAGGAGAATCCATTATATCGAGGGTCAGTTAGATGTGAAACGCCTCACCATCTAACTGTTTAAATAGAGAGAGAAGTCCGTTATATGGAGGTTTCACTGTATTAAGTTTGAAGTGTATGGTACTTAAGTTTCAAGGTAACAACATTTAGTCTATATGTAAAGAATGGAGTAAGAATTATACTGATTATTTATTATCTGTTTGTGGAGAATTAGTCAGCATCTTCTCCTCACAAGCAAGTAGTCCCGGGATCAAACTCCAGGCAGGGTAAAACTATGGGCAAGTTTCTTTATGCCATTTACCTCTTGTCTATGCAGCAGCAGTAATTGGGAACCTGGATTTTTAGCTGATTTGTGGCTTGTATTCTGGGTGTTAATTGTTAGTTACCCAGCAATGCAGTTGGTGAGTTGTCCAAATCTTCTTGGGGTTTACTCCTTGACACTGATGAGTCATGCAGCTCATTTATTAACTTTAGGTGTAGTTGTTGTGTTGGCCAAAACAGCTTTGAAAAACTTAAACAAATTCACTCCTAAATGGTCCTAGTGCTTGCCAGCCAGCCTCTCAAACACTTGGGATGATTATTGTTATCTGTTTAGACCTTGGCTTGTCCTGATTACTATTGTGTGAATTGATAGTTTCTCAAGGTAGTAAAGTGATATTTGGTACTGTGTTTTATGCATAATACCATCAATAGTTGTATGATTCTTTAAATAATCACATGCTCAAAAGTTATTATTCATATAACATATTCAGAATTTATTCTGTGAGATATATGTGATACACTAATATGGTTTATTATAATTTTTTACTATATAATATCAATATTGTATAATGATGTCAGTGATGAGTGAACAATTATGACCTAGTATTTTTGGCTTTACACTGTGTCGTATTTGAAGCTGACTTCTACAGTACTTTAGCCATATTGTATTGACATTACCGATACAAATTATTTTTTCAATTTGATAATTCACCATATACAGTAATGTACAGTCAACTACTATAGCTAAAGTCCTCCTTTTGCCTCTTCCCCTGAACCATGAACCCATGAGAGATTCAGGCTCATTAATCTGAAGCAGCATTTATGGACAAAATAATGTATCAGTCTACTGCTTGTTTGGGTTCACGAGTCTGAATCTCTCAGGGGTTCATGGTTCAGGGGGAGAGGCGATTAGACTTTAGTAGTTGACCGTAGCTAATGTACTGTACTGGTAGAGACACACACATCTCAGCCACTGAGAGCTATATATTAATACTAATGTACTAGTCATCATTTACCTCCTCGTGTTCAGTAAACTACAGAAAGTATTGTACTGAGGAATCATTCCATAATAACCTGCACTTCTACTATTTAAAACAAAATTATTCCATTTTATAACAAATATATTTTATAGAAGTTTTTGACTATTTACACTTAGCCAAAATTATTAAGGAGTTTATTCATACAAGTATATCTTTAAGTATTTGTTGAACTGCGGTGTGCACCACAAAAATATTTTAAAAATCCTTTTGCCAATATTAAAGATCTTAATTGTCTTTTTCTCTCATTTTTCTTATCATGGAGGGAGCCCAATGTACAGTCACTCAAAAATCTATCTATATACTCTGGTGGATGGGGGGGTGATGAATTTCAGAATGAACATACTGCAACCTATGTTGGCACTCTCGGTAGGGTTGTCAAAATCCTTTCGTCTGTTGCGTTATATTTTTCTCCTCGCAGTTTTGTGAAAATAGTTTTGGGAGCGTCTGTCTTTTATTAATTAGCTATACTGTACTGTACTTTTTTTTATCCTCCGAAGTGAAAATGGAGGCACTGTCTTTTCATCCTTTTCTCTGTCTGTAACATTGTTTATGTTTTGTAGTACATAAAAATATTATTCAATATTATTCAGTTTAGTTACAAAGCAGAATATCATGATTTTTTTTTTATGGGTCTCTGTTTTAATGTATTTTGATCATACTTGAGAGTTTGAGCATTTTAGTCATAAGAAAACTATGATTATGGATGTTAACTTATTGAAAAGAAACTAAATCGGAGCACAATACAGTATTATAATCAATCAGGGCTGGTTCTGGGGTATTCAACGCTCTAGGCAACTCCGTAGATTTGCGCCCCTAGTAATTTTTTATAATCTAATGTAAGTACGGGGTCTCTGGGTTACTAACGGGTTCCGTTCCTGAGGACCTTCTTAAGTCGGATTTATATGTACAGTAAGTCGGAACACATGCCATGTGCATATTGTACTTACAGTACAATGTTTAAAATCACACTATAGTATATCATAGCTTAAGTCCTTATATACATCTAAAATCACTTAATTTAAGAGAAAAGAAGAAATAGAATGACAAAATACTGTAATTGAAAGTAAAAAAAAATAAGGCATTAAGTAAATAAAATACTGTAAATTTCAAGTTTAACCTCGTTCGTATTGGCATTCGTTCGTAAGACACGTTGGTAAGTCGGGGACCTCCTGTACTCCATTACTGTATTGTTTCTGTAACTATGGAAACACCACTGATGACATGTATATTATCATCTTGTGGCTTTATTACTACATTCATGAAAGTAACCAATTACAGTATAATTATTATTATTACAATAACTCGGTGAAGAAAATGTCAGTAAGTCACAAATTTCAGTTGAGCTTTATTTTAAGGTACAGTAATTCATAAAAAATAAGCATATTTAAAGCATTTAGTTAGCTTCTGTAACCTACTATTATTTCATTATTATATACATGCAGTCCAGTGAATAAACAATGAGATAAAGTTTATGTGAATGCGGTACTATACATTGTTTTCCCAGAACCCAGGTGATAATTCCCACGTTGTAAGTCTCATTAATCCGGAGCAGGTGTAGACTGGCCGCAGTATTCCCACAGGTCACTGTCAGGTCATAACTTCATAAGCCTAGCTAATCTGGTGTCAGACAAGCATGTTCTACCAAAAGAAAAAGTAAGGAAACTTGGGTGTAAGGTACTTCCACCTACAGTAAACCCTCGGTAACTCGGCATTCGATATTTCTCGGAGTTTCGTAGAACTTGGGACGGATGTGGTCTCTGAATTTATTATAAGATAACTCAGGAAATGGCGAGTTATATATATAATTATCTGGGAAAATCCCGGCATATTTGGTCATGTGGGTAACATTCGCCAAGCTGCACTCTACGCTTGGTCAGTCTGGTGTTTGTATTGTTGTGGTTGGGTGTGTGCTGGCTCACTCCTCCCAGTACATGGACAGGGAGGGTGCTATAGCACCCCAATATTTGGGTATAAAGTACTATACTATACACTGCACCATGGAGTATCTAAGGCACCAGAATTAATATTCAGCACTCCCTGGTAAAATTTGGTTCCTGCGGTGCTACACCAGTAACACCAAACAACCTCCCCCATTCATGTCAGGCCAGCAACTGTATGCAGAACATCTCCACTACTATGGTAAATGTTGTAGATTGTATTTAATTTATAGTTCAATTCATTTAATCTGAATTCAAACTATCTGAATCCTCCAGGTATCCCAACTTTGTCCTCTTTGGTAAAAATTCTAATTTAGTCCAACAATCCAAAAGCAACTGAAGTCATTTATTCGCTCGTTTGATACCTGTAGCGCTATAACCGCTTTTAAACAAAAATTGCTGTGATAAACAATAAAATTTATACCTAGCATATCATAAAATACAATAGCACATATTTTGTGAAAAAAAAAAAGCTCCTTCCACTCTCAAACCATCATATAAGTGATGCCACAGTTCAGCCAGGCAGTCAAGAATCAACCAGCTAACTGAGACGTGTGTGCTGTAACGTCACATGGGAGGGAAGAAGGCAGGTGAGTCCAAGGTAGGTAGATAACAGGTAGCCTGACACAGGCCCATAGGAATTCACTAATTGGCAACTCTACTCTCGAGATCGCTAAGCCACGCCCCTTATGCCACTTCATGCATTTGTAATATTGTGGTATTATTATCTATAGATCCTTTCTCTAATCAAAATATACCCTGTACTAGCATAAAATGTTATTAATCAGATATATATTTAATAATATGTAATATATATGTATATTGCCATGTAAATTATACAATAAGAAAATGTTTGACAAAATTTACAATAAAACGGGAACTCTGGTTGAATTGTAAAATATTCAATACATTTCCTCCCATTTTAAATAGCGATTATGTCAGTCCTGTGTGTGTGTGTGTGTGTGTGTGTAACCTCTTGCCCTTTCTAGTGAAGGCTTGGAAACACATAAATACAGTGATACTTCTTTTTAACGGATTTTCCTCTCTGCATAGTCTGTTAAATCGAGGTTTCACTGTACTCAATGGCGACTTCATTATGCTGATGATGAGATAAAAGTTTTAAATAACTTTGACCTACGAAGAAATGTAACATTAGTCATAGTAATTACTGTATATACCTGTACAGTGGTCCCTCGGTTAACAAACGCCTCGGTTAACGAAATTTCGGTTAACGAATTACCTTCCATAAGAATATTCAATTTGGTTAACGAAATTCTTACGAAAATGTTTCGACATGCTTTGGCTTGCTCACCAGCTGGAATATTAGTCCACCAATACAGTAATTGGTTCTAGGGCTTAAATTCTTTCCCATATGAGTAAATATCAAGAAGGTTGTACTATTCAATAATTTTCCAAGTTTTATATTAAAATTTTTAGTCATTTTATCAATTATTTAACAATTGAAGTACAGGAAACTAGTTTTTAGTGCGCCAAACAGCCACTCAACTCACCAAACAGGCGTCAGTTTGTATCTCTGGTCAGTAGAGGTAACATCTTGCTTGTGGCTCTCTTGAACATAAACAATTGTTACGTTTATACAGTACAATTATTGGTCATTCTGAAATTTATTTAACATATTGAAAATATATATAGTGCAGTGCAGTGTTGATTTAAAGAAAATAATCTTGAATTACACCTAGTGAACTTAAAATTTTGTGGGTGAAATGACGGCATGAAGCATGGGGTGATTTCTCTTCCACCCCCGCTTCCTTCTCTTCTCCCTTCTCTTCTCCCTTCTCCTCCACCCCCATACACACCTCAAAGTAAGTGTACTTTACTGCATTTATTTTTATTTTGTATATAATTTTCGGTGAGCTGGAACCAATTACCCAAAATCTTATTGAAACAATGGTTTTGGTTAACAAAATTTTCGGTTAACGAACGACCTTCTGGAACGAATTGTGTTCGCTAACCGAGGGACCACTGTATACCTAATATGTAATGTAACAACAGATGTGTGGTAATATACTGTAGCTCTCCCTTACCTCGATAGAAAAAATTTAGAGAATTAAATTATTATTTTTATTAACACCCATGGTACACTTAGGCGTTCTCTCACGAGACGCTCGGGATCTGTCCTGTTACTCGCCTCACCACACTTGACTGTACCTCACGAGAGATATTTGTATGTAATGAGTCATAGTAAGCTTGCTATTTGAGATAAAAAGGTGGGATTTGTTGCATTGGAATTGTAAATAAATTATCTACAAATAGTTTTATATAAGTTATGACGATAGATAATTAATAATTATTTTTATACCTTCTTTATTTCGTGATTGCAATATGAATTTTATTTCATTATAAAGCATACATATAGTATAGGAAAAAAATGGTTATAGAAGAAAAGATGTGAAAAAATTAATATTTTACTAGGGACAAGCATGAGGAGGCACCACACAATCACCATGTGGTGCCATCTTGTACTTTTTACATTTCCCACATCCTCCACCCTCACCAGCAACATAAGGCATGGTTCAAGACTCTCACAACACTGTTATGAATAAATGAAATCGGTGTGATGAACGAGAAATCAACACCATCCACAAGAAAATGGGTGGGAAATATAGATCAATGTTATTTCCTGGGTCCTTTAAACACAAAAGGGAGACTGGTGTAGTGACCTTGGAGTGCAATCTAAGTAGTGCCAGATCGCACTGACATTGCCAAATGTGTGTCTTGCGTGTCTAGCATTCATACACAAACAAAATTGTTTATTTAGGTCTCACGCAATTTTGCGTATGAAAAACCCAAGAGTGTTAATATCATACAGTGTTATATACTGCTACTCCTCGACTTATGACCACCCGGACATACGACCGCCGCAGTCGTACCAAAAAAATTTTAAATTGCGTATTTTCGAGTCCCGACATTAGCGATTGCTCTGTGTACTGACAAAATTTTCGTTTGTAATTCCCTTTAAAATGGCTGGCAAGCCTAAAAGTGAGAGTTTTGTGGTGCTGAGAAGAAAAAGAGACCCCTTTTAGAGAATCATTTTAGATTCTCTATGTATTATTTTTGCATTTTCGACTACACATGAGTCTAAAGTTCCAATAAAACTGTAAATTTTGTGCTTTTGATTTGGCAAATGTGCAAACAAATTGTTTCAAGTCTAGTTTCTCCTCAATTTCATGTTCTATGGACAGCGGAAAGCCCAACAAATCTTTCTTCTGCCATGCTGAGCATAAATATGTTTTTATCAATTTTAGTTTGGAAAAACTTGGATCACCACTGGCCACA